GGTTATTGGAGGTGGGTGTGTTAATCTAAATAATTACCGAAATTTGTTTCATCGAAACAACATATGTTTATACGAAATATTATTGGTATGGTTTTGTCTCTAACACTTATTCGAATCCTCGTTCGAATCATTTGAATAAATCAAATAAAAACGCAGAACAGATGCTTTATTTCGCACAAGTAGCAGATAACGTAAAAATGTAAGACACTTACCTCACGATTTTTCCGCCGTTGCACGATGCCTCTTTGGCCACTTCCTCCTCTCAGATTTCCTTGTCGCACTAACACAACACTCACTCGCGAAAATTATCGATCGCGCGAAATTTCGGGCACTCCCGTACGCGATGTGAAATACCGCGAAACCCACGAAATATTATTAAAAAATATCGCGTGACCTTCTGCCATACAAATTACTCAAACTAACAACTTGCATTTTTGATTCGGAAGAATGGATAAATCACTTTTGAATTGGCGATAAAACGCAACGCGAGCATCGGAAGCATAATCTGCGGTAAAGACGTAGTTATTAGTCCGCAACGAAACGATATTTTACAATCTTTGCCATTCAATCTAATCCCCGAAATAGATTACGCGAGCGAAATTTCCAGCGATAAATAGTTGTTATTAATTGCAACAGTTAATCGAGATAATTTTCGATTACATTTACATAATGTAACGACGTGCGATAAGCGACTTTCTTTACTTCCTGCCCGTTCGAGTTGCGAACAACGACAGAGCGAATTGCAGCGCGAACGCCGAAGTCGCATAAATGTTCTCTCTTTTCCCGAAAATGGAACAGATTACGCGAAATCGATAGATAATTAAAAGCGCGGTGCGTAAACGAGATGTAACCGCGACAAAGTACCACGGTTTACATTTATATTTTAGATGAGTTAGCCTCGAGAAATATTTACGTGTACGTTGATAAAGAGCCGTCGCCTCAACATACAATTCGTTTCTCATTACAAGTTGTAGAAACTTAGTAATTAATCGAGGAACGTTACTCGTTACTAATAAAGGTGTACAAATCAATAGCGTTTTATCCCTGCATGCATCGCGATCGCGTCTTGGAAACCGATAACGCAAAAGTAATACCACGCACGGAGCGACTCTCGCCACTGCTTGCCGGCTCGACGTTCGGCGAGCGAGTGATTGCGCGGCGACCTTCGCGTAAACAATGGCTCGCGTAACGTCGCACGATACCGCGCAGGGAGAAAAAAAACAACGAACGTTGAGAATTCGTTATCCCGCCTACGAAATTGAAAATTCTGTACCCGATATTTCAAATTACTCTGTTCAGTGACATTCTGCGGACTTATTGGTGTTGATTAAATTAATTCCGTTCAATCGAGAAAATGTTTCGGAACAAAAATCGTTGTTACTTAAATTCTAATTACAAAGATTAGAGATTTTACCTCAGTGGTTGGTGTATACAAATGTATATTTCTAAATTGCAAATCCTCATTTACTACGAATCTAAAGGAGAAGTAAAGCACACCGCGCTTCGAGGAAACCAGTCGGCATCGCGGAAAAGAGGCCTCAACTGTTCGATATGATATTCGCGCTGGTAACATCTCTTTTTTAGAAAGGTAGTAAGAATGTTGCTTGAATAAAACAATATCATTTGAATCACAGAGAATATACCTTTTCTTTCAAACAAATATTTTATTTCGGACGATATGTATTACTTCCAATTCAAACAAATGATATATCTGGTCCATTTCAGATATCAAATTTGTTTGGATACACCAAAATTTATTAAATCCAAAGAAATCGTTTTCTCTGTGTACATGCAAAATGTAAAAGTGTGGTAATATGTGCCTAAATTCATATGGGAAGGCATCAGTGATTCCTAGTGTTCATGTGCCGCGTGAGGTCATCGTTAATCTGCTATCGCCTTGCAGTTCAAAGATCGTTTGAAAGCGATCGTCGTTTGTTTCGAAGATCCCCTGCCAGCAGGCCACAAGTTGTTTGTCCCTTCGAGATTTGTGAATTTCCGTTAGAAGAGGCAAACAAGATATCGAAAGTATACGAGGAGCGTACACGATCCTCTCTCTGGTTGGCCGGCAGTTTCAAAGCCACGATAAATATTTCGTAATAATGTTGAACGTCAGATGCTCGAAGTTGCACTGTAATGCGCCATGAATGCGATCGTTCCATTTTTCTTTTTAGTCTCCAGCCTGACAATGAGAAGCATAAATGATCTGTGCGATCGTCGGGCTGCACAGACCTTCTCGGCGCTTCAGGTCAGAGAACTTCGTGTGACGAAAGCGCGATCGTTTGCGATTTAGGACACGGTAAAGACAATGTAGCTGCCGCAGCTAAATACTGCACTTGTAAAATATGGACAGCTAATATCTGGTCGTGATAGCTAAATATTTTGCTGCTGCGCCTATTGTATAAGACGCGACAGCAAACCGTTTGCTGTGCTTTAGAAATTTATAGTTTGTGACAGCAAAATATTTCTAGCAAACCATGATTAGCTACGGTAGAGAAAATTGTTTTTCAGTGAAGAAATAATTTGCCTATCCCGAAGTCGCGCAGGAAAATGCTGATCGTGAATGTAAAGAGCGAAGAGAGGGAAAGAAAAAGGTCCCTCCCTCCAGTTCTTGTCTGTCGTGAAGTTGTGTGAAGTGTGCACATTCACAGACACACACACGCACCCAGACACACACACACACACACACACACATGTCAACGCACGATGAAATTAATATCTTCGTTGATCGTAGTCGTTATCTGTCCGCGTAACTTAGCTGAGTACAATCGCTCTGATAGTGGACTAGTAGCGAGTGGAGAGCCGCACGATAGCCTGTCCTCATTGTGCGTGAAGATGTTTGCCGAATATATACCCTTCACGACCAAGTACTTCTATCACGTGCTCGTCATCGTCGTTTCATTAGTTTTGTTTAAAAAATTCTTCGAGCGACCGGCCGAGAGAACTGCACAAAGTGGCACACATGCATTTACGACATCCGACGAATCCGCGGATCCGAGTGAAAGTAAGAATGTCTACTATACGCGAGAGTTTTGAGTGAAACGTCTTGGTTATCGATCATATTCGCCTTGTTTTGGAAAGAAAAGGACGAAAGATCTCTCTCGGAGATCCCAAAATTAGCTACTTTATTGGTGGTGAACGCAGAGATTCGCGTATTGGATCGCAAAGAAACGATGATAATTAATTAATCGTCACGTGATGATTAAGAAAACGATAATAATAAAATACTAGCGATATATCTTAGTGTTAATAATATACTTTTATTTTAAATTAACTCCAGAAATTATAAATTCTATGCAATTAACGCTGCCAAGGCAGTCAAAGTAACTGGTGTCTCTTTGTCAAAATTTTAGGTTTTCACTTTTCGTGACTTTCGCTGCGATATGTAAATGTAATTACATTTATTAATATACTCTCCACGTTTAAGAAAATATTATTTTCTTCTTATTTATTTATTCTTCATCCATGCTCGAAGTAGTTTCCAATTTTATATTTGTATTTACATCAACGAGTTCTCGTAAGGCTGGTATTGTTCCATTGAATGTAACTGATACTCGTGAATGATGTGTAAATAAATACGTACCTAAGTATATCTGAATATAAACAATCTGAATTTCACTGATAACAAAAATAATCAAAATAAAATATAATCTAACAGAGTCAAAACAAATTCAATAAACTGAAAGCTCCCACAGACTAAATTCACATAATTTCAAATAAATAAATAAAACTGACAATAAAAAATAAAAGCTGAAACTGAAAAACTCTCCAATAAAGTTATTACAGTTTCATTATATTCTTTACGTATTACATTAAAAAATATATACAATAACGTACATTTAAATAGTACAAATGAATATACGTTAATCTCGTCGGTGATGTTAAAAATCTATCTTGTGCGATCCCGATTGCACGCGATCCTAATTCCATTTACGATTTTCGAAAGAAAAAAATTCAAACTCCCCTCGTACGATTGCGGAAAAATTTTTATCCCACGAGGATGCAATATCTGCTTTCATTTTCCTCCCTCATTTGTCTAATTGTCAATTCACACGTAGAATATGTGTCAATATACATCCCAAGGAGCGCCAATGCGCGTATAATGTGCTTTAAATGTACATTTAAATTCGCATTTGTCCCGCATTAAATGTACATTGTGGCAGCGCGTTCGAAAAAATTGTACCATTGACCTCCTACGCATAATTTTTCATGCAGCATGCATAAATATACAGAATTATATAAAATTATATATCTCAAATATACCCAAACCTGTTAAATTCGCGCAATTTGAACACGCAATTAATGTTGCGTTAAAAGCACATTAAACGCGAATTAGCGCTCTTTGAGATGTTACACTTTGATAACAATCGATAAGATAAATCGCTTCGTATTATATAATTACTTTCTAGAAATGGACGAGACAGCAGGTAACGAAGAGCCGGCTTTACCACGTGATCTCAAACACATACCGTATCGCTACGTCCGGAAGTCCGAAGAGGAGTTATTGGCACGTGCGCTAGAATTTTATCAAATAGCTGCGGCGAGGCGGACCATAAGGTTCTTCAGCGCGGATCCCGTCCCGAAGGAAGTTATCCGTGAACTTATAAGGGCTGCAGGTACTTTGGTGACACTTGCCAAGTGAGATTTCTTCCAAGATTCGAGTGCGCAAGAGAGAGCACCGTACGAAAGTTGAGACTCGGCGTTTCAGACTTTTTCAACGTGTGAATAGATATTGCAAACATAAAGATTCGTTATTATCATGAAATGAGCGTTTCCGTCGCGTGTGGAGCCCCCATTACTGCTATACACGTGATTTTAATATTGCCCGGCGACGGATATCGCGGAGCATTTCAAATCTTTTGCCCCGAAGAGTCCTCACACTTCACGAAAACCGTACCGTTAAAAATCATTAATTTATTAAGGGAAAAACAATCCTGCGATAAGTTGCGCGTTGAAATGAAACGCCGACGATGGTGATCTGAGAACATTAGCGTTCAAGGCCTGTGTCCACGATGCTGGAACTTGGTCCGAGTTCTAGTTTCGAGAAATGTGTAGCCAATCAACTTGCAGCTATTTCATAAAAGCAGCAAGCTGACCGGCTACACATTTCTCGGAGCTAGAACTCGGACCAAGTTCTAGCATCGTGGACACAGGCCTTTAGAACAGGCACTGATCCAAGACGCTGTTGTACCTAAATGCGCATGTTCCAAGTCACATACTCACGCTTCTTTTACTTAGGTACTGCTCCCAGCGGCGCGCATACGGAGCCATGGACCTTTATCGCGATATCCGATCCGGCCACGAAATTGAAAATCAGAGACATCGTGGAGCAGGAGGAGGAGATCAATTACAAGAAGAGGATGGGCATAAAATGGACGACTGACTTGTCCCCGCTAAGGACCAACTGGATAAAGGAATATCTCACCACAGCTCCGTACCTGATACTTGTGTTCAAGCAAACTTACGGCGTCTTGCCAAACGGACAGAAAAGGATTCATTATTATCACGAAATGAGCGTTTCTATCGCGTGTGGGATTCTCATTACTGCTATACAGGTGATTTTAACATTTCCCCGCGACGCATATCACGGATTAGTACTTCAAGTCTTTTGCCCGAAGGGTCTTTCTCACAATTCACAAAAACTCTAGCATTAAAAACGAATAATTTATTAAGAGGAAAAGAAATGTCGAGCCGAAAAACGATCGCTGATCATCGAATATGTTTAGAAAGTTTCCAAGTATTCCATAACGACGGTGATCTCGCGAACTTTGCGATATTATTCTCGAGTAACGATTGAATTTATGCCGACAATCGAACCCAGGGAATCTAGCCTACGCTCGACTCGTAATGATCGAATTTATAGTTAATTTATTTCATATCACCCTTAAACACAGTACGCCGGATTGGTGACCCTCACATCCACGCCGTTGAACTGTGGACCGGCTATACGCAGCCTCCTTGGACGTCCAGCCTACGATAAGCTCGTGTTACTTCTGCCGGTCGGTTACCCAGCCAAAGACGCCACTATACCCGATTTACGGCGGAAAGATCTGTCCGAGATCTTGGTCGAGATCGATTAACGAAAGTATAAAACGCGACTTGTGTTTCAAGAGTACCGCTTGACGCGCTGGAAAAAGAAATTCGGGTGAATATCCTTCACACTTGACATGGAGAAATCGAGAGTGGGAGTATCTGAAATAAATAGTCCAACATAGATTTATGTTAATACTATTTTTATGAAAAAATGTTATATTTTTCGGATTATTAACCTTTTTTCATATCTTACATTACATTTTTTTGTGGATAGCAATTATTCACTATAATCGTAGAACGTAGTGCCCCTTGGCTTAAAACATCGCTGCCAATATTACAAAGTAATCGTAATATCCGAAAGAAAAGCTAATCCCTGAAATATAGCACCTGTTCGTGAGTCGTTTGTTATGTATTTCTTTCTCCTGCAGAGAGAGAGTTGAAGAAGTATACAATGGCACGCAATAAGACTGCTCTAAAACTTAATGATCCGGTTTGTATAAACTAATGTGTTTATTTTCAAATTTGCATACATAATGTTAAAAGTAAGCGATATAAAATATAAATCCATCGCTCTAATTGTAAGTCGAAAAAGGAGAACTTAAAAGTGAGTTCAAGTGTATCTAACGGTACAGTTACAATTAGGCGGTCGTAAAATTGATCAAATCGAAAAAAATGAGGTCTTGCTTTCTTTTTGCTTTACATTAATCAACGAATACCAAATATCACCCACAGCGCCGTCTTAAATTAAGTACATTTAATATATAAAATATAAAAATACTGAGCTATAAATGACGAAGAACATGTAGAATATAATTTTCCTCCAGTACTGCAAGTCTGTATATGACAACTATGTCCGCTACTAATAGCTATGTGTAAAAGCTTTTAGTATCATGATACATACAGAGAAACAGATAATATTCTATTTATCACTATTCATGGAACAAATACTATTAATATCATGATCTAGAATATGAATTCTTTCCTTTTCCGTAATTCCTTTTTCCTATGAGACCCGGCCCGGGCCAAGTCGATAGCGAGGAGCTAAGAGTTGCCTTGAAAATTCGAGATCGCCAAATTTTCGTTAAATTTAAGATACTGCAAAAGTTGTGAAAGCAACCGAATTTCAAACATCATTGACTAAGAGTAGAGCAGAGTCTAGAACTAGGAGAGTATTGTCCTATTTAGCGATCTTTAATTAAATCTCTATTCGTTCGTTCGTTAATAATATCGCTGTAAAGAGTATGTATATATAATATATTTATTTATTTATATATTTATATGTCAGTTTCTAAAATGAGCAAAAAATACACTTTGTTCAGTACGAATGTAAAATCTAACGTCGTCGGTAAATCGAACTCCGCCTTTGTCTTTAAAATTAGTAATCTCTTTGTCCGTTCCGCTTATGGAATCTTACTAACAGCTGGGTTGCGACGTATCTTTACACATCTATTCGTAGAAGCTACCTCGGTTAAATTATAAATACGTGTTTCCTTACATCTTTATCTCGTTGAGATCACCAGTGCCTGAGATATCTAATGTAGTAACGCTATATAAACGTACCCTCCTAATTTATCATTATAATTAACATAATTTAACGGGGAATCGATGGATCGATGCAAATTTCGTAATAAATAGTAATCGATTAAGTTGACCTATGGCGCTTTCCTTTTCTTCCTCTCGAACAAATTTGCGTGTACACTTAGACCTCAATTTACGCGGCACCTTTCATACGCGCTCTTTTCTTTTTACGCGGCAAATACCACCCCCTCCGTTTACGCGACACCTTTTGTACACGGTCTCAGTTTAACGCCGTCAGAAAATATATATCTGTCTACGTCTATTTATTGAAATTATTATGTATATCAGCGGGCCAGAAGTTCTCACTTGATTGTACTTGCCACGCCGTGCCTCTTTTCGTTGACTTTTCGCGGAGAGAGCGCGCTTAAGCGTCTCCGCACAAAAGTGACAAATTTATCCTTCTCCTCTCGTTATTATTGGTTTCTGTGTAAATGCGCGAAATAAATATTTGTACAACGACACGCGGGCCTTTCATTACGTACTTCCCTTTTCTGTACAGATTCCGCTTACGTGATTCTCACAACCGCGTAAAAAAAAAGAAGAAAGAAATCCCCCACGTGGACCGAATACTCCGCGTAAATCGAGAGACGAGTGTGTACGCCGTATAATACTATATGGGTGAGCCCGTGAATACTCTCCTAATTCTCCTAATAAGATGACCGCTATACCACAGCAATGGATAGCTCCGTGACTTATCTATGAAAGTGGACTTAATCACGGTGATGAAATTCGGCTATGCACAGGCGGCAAGACCAGGAGCCCTCGGGAGGTGACGCAAGAGGCGGAGACAGACAATACATGTGGTAGCCACGATCACAGTCGTCACAGAACAGCAACTGATCCTATTTCAGTCCGCCAAACCGTTAATATCAAGGTGGGATCTATGGTCGTGGGTGAGGCGCGGTGATGCTACTAACATTTATTTTTCGCGCCGGCTTTCCGCGAGTCCCGCAACGCCGACGAACAATCAAGAGCCCGTCATCTTGGGGAAACAAAAAAAAAACAAAAAAAAACACGTGCGAATTACCCGCGACACCAGGGCGATATCGCTCGAGGAAAAAAATAATAAATAAAACGAGACGCGAAGGGACTCGCCGATCGAAATTGATATCGTGCCGTTCGCTCGCGCGCCTCTATTACCGCCCGCGGGCGTGAAAAGTCATTCGCTTACGGGCCCTGAAAGAGATTGCTGGATATGTGTGATATATACTTACATCGTTGTCCGAGGTGCCGCAAATCGAGCAACACTTGCATTCGATACACTGCCACCTGTACTTGCGAACAGAAACGATCATGTTTGCAGTGAATTGCAAACAAGTTGGATGCCCTATAACAAGAACGTACGCACGTCAAGGAACACGCATTTGGGACGGAACGAGGAGATCTGTCGTGGGATGCGAGTAGAAAGGTGCCAGGACAGTTATCTTGTGCCGAAGAACAGTGAACTCCAAGCTATTGTTCATTTTCTTTTATTGTTATTATTACTTTTTTTCCCGTCATCTACTTTTTTTTCGATGCTTTCCCATCGTTCAAATCGAAAAGAATTTTTTTTTTCACACAAGAGAGATTTAGCGAGCCATGGCAAGTCTGGTCCACAGAAGATAAAAAAAAAGATACGACTGGCTAGATGTCTTTCACCTTTCCTCAGCACTAAAAACGTCCGGAATAATGATACGTCCTCATGTTTCCGCACAGAATATTTTATTTCATGATATCTGTAATTTTCTTTTTTTTTTTGATGTTGCATTTTGAACATACTGTTATTATTTGGAATAATAGGTGGTAAGTAATAGCAGGGCGTACCTTGGAATAGTTCACGTTCTTTCTTGCGCAGCACAATATAAACGTCGCAGATGCACACTCTCCCTCGCTCCTTTTCTCTCTCTCTCTCTCTCTCTTTCTCTTTCTCTCTCTCTTTCTCTCGCTCGCTCTCTTTCACACTCTCGCGTTCTCTCGTAAATCCTCTCCCTTTCATTATCATCCACACAACACGCAACTCATATAACGTATCACATTCTTTATATATATTATATATATATGAGGCCATATATATATATTTATATATAACTAGTGTGACTTAAATACTATATTTATAAGCCTCATTGGGTATTGCTTAATTAAAACTGCCTAATAACAAATCTTCAATTTTATATATAACAAGGAGGAACTATATATCTGCATGCGTCCATTGTTTTTATACCATGTGAGTTTTTCTTACGACAATCTAAGGATAATATAATATCAATTTATACAAGAAACTAAAACGTAGTACCCTCTAGTCTGCCATATTTAGCTATACCATGTTAAATAATAGAATATCCTACGTTGTATCGTATGCTATATGTAAAGAAGCTGTAACGTATCTCTGTCGATAGCCTTCTACACTCGAGTTACATAATATATGTATATTAGAAAGTACTCTGTAACACGAAGCTCTACGATTAAAGAAGACGGCTGGTACTCGCGATTGTAAATCATCTCCAAATGCTTGAAAAGTCGTATATATACATATGCATTATGTATAAAAAAAAAAGAAGAACAGCGTACACGCACGCGTCTACGCGCGTGGAAAGTAATAAAAAAGACGTTGTACGACGTTACAACTTGCGTGGCGTAAAAGTGTAAAATAAGCGACGTGTAAAACTGCTGATATATTTAGCATATAATCAGTGCAAAAAAAATATATATATATGTATATAAAATAATCCGAGTTGCAGTTTCGAAGGTAGTTTCTCAATGCCGTTCTCGCGTATCTCTTTTCTGCCTGAAAAACTCATAAGGTATTACATTAATTTCATACACGGTATCTTGTTGTTATCTCTAGTCAAAATGATATTTGTACGAGTATCAAAGCTTGTACAAAACTAAGCTATGTCAGGTTTCTACAAGAAGATATTAGTCACGACGTTGATGCGTCTGTGACGCAACCGTTAGAGAGACACCTAACTAAAACGGTCGGTAGTTGAAAAGAACTTCTCTCTTTCGTGACCTGTAAATGTAAGCTTCATATCCCACATCTTCGTCTTGCTTGTTAAATACGTAATAAATATATTGCGTCGTTACAAATAACGGTAATAGCACAGGGGGCGGTTATACTACATTAGGTCGGAGAAGCTAATGCCCACAACTAAAGGTAATTAAGAGCCGGCAGATACAATGGAATGTGAGACACATCAGAAAGAAATCAACGAGCAGTTCTGATTAAACAAGAACGCGCGCGATCGCGTTTTCTTTTCTTTGAAAATCTTCGTAACGAAATCTGCGACACGTCACATCGCGATCACATCGAGCAGTCTGTTACACATGTAAATTAAAATCCACGTGAATAGATTCACCACCTCGGAGCACCATCTCGCACATTTAGCGGTCCACGTGACGGAACATCTAATAATCTAGTAACTCGCCAATGTGAGGATGTAAAATGAGGTCTCTCTTGAGCAACAACTTGTCTAAGAGATAACGAAGATTGTCTGAGAGACAGATTGTTACTCAAAATGCACACGGCTCTGCTGTTCAACGAAAGCGTTATAGCGAACATCTCTCTTTCTCTCTCTCGCTCATTTCTATGAATCCATCTGATCCACTTTCAAGAGACGTGATTTACTTTTTGATTATAAAAATAAATATAATGAACACATAAACGAGAAACGTTAAACAAGTACCAATCGAAATTATAACAAATAACATTATCACTCCTACGGTCGTTATTCGATATCGTTTATTCAGAATTCTTTCAAAGTCGCGGAAGGTACGGAGATCCTTAGAATTGCACACACACATACTCACTCTCTCTTTCTCTCTCTCTCTCTCTCTCTCTCTCTCTCTCTCTCTCTCTTTCTCTTTTTCCTCTTTCGTTATTCCTCTCTCTGCGCTGCGCTCTTAGCTCGCATCGTCTAAAACCTCGTAATATCCAACAAACGCAAAGCCACCAAAGTATTTACAAGCGTTCGGGAAACGTAGAAATATTGAAATGTGACGCGATCAACATCTCTCAGTATCTTACAATAAATACGTTGCTTTCATTAAAACGATTCTCATGATTGTGCTGGATATATAAAGTATATATATAATATATATATATATATATTTCTAAAATTCTTCTAAACCTGCCGGTGCGTATCTCACGCCGTGCATCGCCTATCTCCCCCTTTTGATTTCTAACACAATAACGAAAATATCGGGATACACTGTCAAACAGAAGACAAACACATCCTCCTCAATACGTGCTCTGGTGGTACTGTGCAACAGGAATTTCAACAAATTTGCGCATAATTCCGCGTTAAAGAAACAGCAAACGAACCGCCTGGAATTGCTACTCGACGTCCAATCACGCATACACACACACGACGAAAATTTGAAACCCCTCCCGTCGACGGGCGACTTTTAGCCCCGCGCTTCTTTTTATTTTCATCCTCGTAATTATTACGCGTCACCGATTCGATATCTTAGAAACTAATCATTGAGTTACTATAAAATCACAGCAAATTCGCGTAGTAAAGGAATTCCTGAAAATTCCTATTACTCAGATGCGACAAGTTGCACCATTGACAAAACGATGTTTTGTATTCCTCGCCTTGACTAGTGTATGTAAAGCTCGTAACCGTTTGATCCTACACTGTGCAGATATAATTGAATGCCGTCCTTCCTTAATTATTGCACCCAGTTGCAACAGCATGGTTTTCTACTACCCTTGGCGGCAGTGACGGGACGCGTCGCGCGACAAACTGTAACCCTATACAACTCAAAAAGTCATCTCGGTAAACCTAGACATTAAAAAACATGTACAAGAGCCGACGGTGCGAACATCTCGCGCGTTCAACGGCCGCTTAACGCATTAACGAAACGGAAAGATTGTACAAACGTAACGGACAATTCTAAACATCTCGATTGCGCGTTTAACAATTGTAGGTACGTTTTGGAAAACAGCGGGGAAGGGCGCTTGCTTGCTCGTAAAATTAACCAATTACTTAAGCCTGATCTGCAACGTGCCCAAGTAGAACAAGTTAGTCACAAAAACGTCAATGTGACATTAAAATGATGAATTTTACGTCATAAAATGATCGACGTCAAGACTTACTTTGCAATGACTGATTTACGACATGCTGTTTTATGATACTCGTCATGTGTATAATAATATTACAGATTACATGATCAGTCATATGTTACGTTTATCTTATATTACCTCAATTCATTTTTAATGCACATTTAATTAACTTTGCTTCGTAAAACAGGATTATTTTCGCAACATTTTGATGTCTTAATGATGTCACAAATAGGTGCTCTCGGTGGGCTACTTTGACGTCACACCACGATGCGTAAAAAAATGATAAAAAAATGGTGTCATCTTGATGTTTTCATGACTAGTATGTTCCACTTGGATGCTGAACTTTGCGACTAGAAACATTCTAATTTGCGTAAGCAAACCAATACGCTATTATTCGTAGGCAAAATAAAATGCTTCTAGGCGCAAAGAGCGCGTTGCAGATCAGGCTCAACGTCTTTCACGATATTAGCAGCTAAAACATGGAAGTATAAACGATTATATAATAGCATAAACACGTATGTGTATATATACATATATACACATATATCCAATACTCTCCGTAACGCTCCGGCATCACCGTCGGGCTAGAATCGCGTCGCGACAGCAAGTTCTCCAGGTCATGTACATCCCGTGAGCGAGCTGCTGGTCCCCTCGCACGTTCGCGCGAGGAAGCGTACGCAAGATATTGCAACGAGCCGAGATTCCTTTTTTCCTTCCTCCTCATTTTTTTTTTGAGTTGTATTTGGCTATGTATGCACAGAACGCAGTGCGCGATAGGCTCGCAAAGAGACGTAGAAAATGGAACCGCCGTCCGTGGAAACGTGACGGCTCTCACCGCCAATATCCGGAATATATCGATTTCAATGAATACATGTGGCTACGTGATTACCACCGTCGTCGTCGTCGTCGTCGTCGTCGTCGTCGTCGTCGTCGTCGTCGTCGTCATCGTCGTCGTCGTAGTCGTAGTCGTCGTAGTCATCGTAGTCATCATCATCGTCGTCGTAGTCGTCGTCGTCGCACGCCGGCGACAGTGCGAGTTAATTGTGATTCGCCCGGCGGGTGTACTTGCGCTTGATCTTTTCCTCTGGCTTACCTGAACGGCCGCAGTCGCTGCACGACACCAGCTCCTCGGAGCCGCCGGTCTTCTTGTTCTCGCGCGCGTCGCCCAGGCAGAAGTCGCAGTACGGGGAGGGCTGCGCCGCGGACGACTTGCCGCCGGCCTTCTTCTCCGCGGTCGGTCCCCCGGGTGTGGGCGGCCCGCCCGTGGCGCCCGCGGTGTCCGCGGACGGCAGGGTGGAGACGGCGGTGCCGCCGGGCGAGGACGCCGCCGGCAGGTGATCTTCCTTGGTCGCCGGGACGGTGGGCGACGCCGGGCCGACGGGCGTCTGCACGGCCGACTGCAGCTGCTGCTGCTGCGACTGCTGCGGCTGGGACGTGCTCCCCGCAGCTGGTGCGGCGGCAGGCGCCGCCGGGGAGGGACTCGAGGTATTCGAGGAGGTGGCGTTCTGACGACCCCGGCGTGTACCACCTGATCACAAACCGATCAACATACCCAGTTGCGCTTTGCCGTCACAAGCTGATGACCATGCACACCGGTTTTATATAATAGACAAGAGACAAAATTCATAGTCGACTCTTTCTCACTCTCTCTCGCTCTCTCACTCGTTTTCTTGTTCTCTCTCTTTCTCTCCATTTATCTAATCATAATCGATTCAGTTATGTCGAAGCACATCTGCAAGTGATAGGAATATCCAATAAATATACAGAGTCCGTGGCGACTCGATGAATTTATCCGATTGTATACAGAGAGTCCCCCAGCATCCGGCGCCGCGTCTCGCGATACAAAAGGGACGAGGATAGAAATCGGAAGTGGTGTTCTATGGTGCGCGGAAGCAGTTTCTCAGATATTTTCGTTAACTAACCGGAGGATAAATCGTTGGAAAAAAAAATCGAGTTACAACTTGCGTAAACTTGAATTTAATCCGAGAGCCTCGGTTATTTGTCAATACAGTTGTAATTTAAAAAAAATGAAATAATCGCAGACAAAAAATCGACTCGAGCACAAGAGCGTTCGTCGAGAAGACTGACGATCGCAATCGGGACACTCTGTATAATGTCAAATTGCTGTGCAACCGGCGTGCGTCGCACATACACGAAGCAGCCTTTTTCTTTTTCTCATCGCATTCTTCATATAACGGAATCAATTATTCTAAACTTCACAAGACTCAACCGACTGTTACAACAAAGAAAACAAATCTGATTATATAAGTAAGTATAACAAAGTGCAATATGTCAATCAGTACATTCCATCACCAGCAGCAAATCCAAGATATAACGACGAAATATATATATATAAATATTTATATCGATTCCAAGTACAGACAGGTACAAACAAACGGCTTTTCAAACATATTCGAGCTACAGGTAACTTGAAAGATACCTATTTGATGTCTCAACGAAGCCTCAACATTCATTAATAGGAGAATCGAAGCCAAAATCGCTCTAGTGATACAAGCGTCAAAGTAGCAAAGACAAGAAGAACTCTCTTGTTAGGCTCATTCGTAAAAACTATAATCACATGCCGAAGAGGGAGACGGAAAGAGCTACTGATAAAAACGTAAAGAAGAGAATGAAAAAGAAACACGCATACACACATACAAAACGCTCAAGAGTCACGAGACGCCAGTGTTCGCAGACCGGAGAATACCAACCTATAGGACTCGACGATCTTTTTCCTTCCTCTGATAAATAAATAAAAAAGAAAACATTTCACTATTCTCTGATTAGAAGCATGCTACTGCAAAATACATGCAGCACAAATAAAATTATCGCTCATCCATCGAAACATTTCCACTTTGATATGTAAAGTATATCCTATGTACATTTATAAGATAGAAACAAGATGTACGCAAATATCTCGTCATAAAATGCAAAATGAAATCGCTCATATCACACTGGCTTGAATATCATTTATATCCGTATGATATGCAGACAGCTCGACACGTAAATATATATAGATATATGTAATGGAGCATCGCAAGAAAAATATAAATTTCATACATACATATTTCGAAATAGAAATTTAACAGTTAGAGAAGAAAAAAACGTCATGATATATCTTATTTGCAATGCATGCACACACATTTGCAGTACATGTAAAAAAAAAGTATATATGTATATTATAAATTGGTTATATGGGGATAAGTTCTCGGATGAGTAGTTGCATGACCGGGACAAGATTGAAGACAATGGCGAATGGGGGAGAGCGGCGGGAAGGGGAGGGCAGGAGGAGGGGCTGAGAGTTGGGGCGTGGAACGCGGGCTTAAAGGAAAGTGAGAAAACTGAGCTGATTGTGGCTCCAACCTGGCTGGTTCGAAGCAGCGGTGTCTGCAACGCTCCTAGGTTCAACTTCGGCAGGACTGGGACTTAGTTCCTTAGCAGGATCACCGGAGGAAGTAGAGTGGGAATGACCGTAATGGTAGACCAGACCAGGTCTGGTCTTATACCGTGCGCTGCATACTGCAAAAGTGCAAATACTGTTTTCCCGCAATCCATCCAATGCAACGTCCAATGATAAGACAGACCTTTCGTTTAACGGACGATCAAGGGGAGGTAGTACGGGACAGTAAAGCCGACAGGGCGGGGTCAGGGATAGCATTTGCACACCTTCCGCACCAGTACACATCCCTATCCACCTACGAGTCTATATGTGGACAAGCAGTGAAGGAGTTCCAGCCCAAGAAGCAAAACTAATACGATGCAAGGCTTGATGCTTGTACTCCTACAGAATGAGCTCGCTACAGTGTGAGCCAGTACATTCTTGCTCTGTTATTATTGCAGGTAGAGCTAGTCCGAAGATATTTGGGCCGGTGACGTTAGCTCGCTTGTACAACAAACGTGTTCAATGCTCCGCTTCAAACTGTGTCTCTAACACGAGCTTGGTATAACCAGACCAAATGTCTTTAGATTATCTGCTAGTCTAACAGGAGTGGTTTCAAGAAGTAAACAGATTGCAGGCACATTCGAGTTAATTCATAGATTTTGTGTTTCGAAAAGTTGGACCAAATTAGTAATGACTATTTATACTCCTTCCAGATAATAACGCAATTGTTCAAAGAGTTATTTCATTTCTCTTTTTATATCTTTTTCCCTTGTTTGATTAGGCTAACAAGTAGACTCGAATCCCAATAAATTTGTGCATAATGAGTATATAAGTGTGCTGTTTCTCTGAGAAAAAATATACAGGTCAATTTTCACTCGTATAAAAGTTAGCGACTCGAGATTCAGGCGTTTTGCTATGAATGTAAGTGTTACGTGACAATTGTAAAATGCCAATTAAAATTCAAGCTTTCGATTGGCACAACAATACCGTGTGTTAGTAATTCATCTTGTGTAATCGAAGTGAAATATAGTTTAAAAATCGAATGACAAAGTTGTTAGTTCGATTAAATTGCGATATGCTAAATCTTCGATTTTAACACAACGGAATAATTACAAGCTACCTGCACGGAATATTTCAATATTATACGTCCAGCCTTTAATTATTTTTAATCCGATTAGTACGTAGAGAAACGTTCAAGAGCATAGGCGTAAAAAGCGTATACTACTTATGCACAAAGTTTTGGATATTTGGAACGTACGACTAGTCTCTGCCTTGCACTCAGAATCATACCATGACTGCCCATATTCAAGTATAAAGAAAACAAGATAAAAATGATAAAATACAGATTTCTCGCACAATAAAATCCCTGTATTCAAATTTTCGTGTATATTGGTATTTAGACATGGAAAAAAACATACCGGCTAATAAATAAATCGATCAACCTCTCTGAACAAACAATGTTAAACCATCGCGATGATGAGAAAATAAAGACTAGAAAGCACCGTCCCGCGCATCATATAGTTTGTTATTCATTTCAATCACCATTGCCTGGATTACCGTTGCACAAGATTACTCAACTATATATATTACCATATATTCAACTGCAATTAATATTTAACAATTTAACAATTTATTTCAAATTTCCATCATATTTTATATACCATAATCAAGTTGTATATTGATATGAATATAGGTGAACAGAATTAACAAATTTTTTTTTTCACGGATAGTCTATCCGTTTGTAACTTATTATTTGAAATAATAAACGTTAAAACGATAATAACGATAATATTTATAATAAACTAATAACAGGAAGAATGGTCATTTGTAGTTGTATCTATGATTAAACTTACGGTCACAAACGAACGGTTTATCAGTGTCGACAGAGTCGTAGTTGGTCTTTTTGCGTCCACGGCCACCACCCTGCGTGAAATAACATCATTGTTAAACCCACGTCCACAAACTGTCCGCAACATTGTATCGTGTAGAGGGTGACTTGTACAAATATAATATGCGTTTACAGCTTTGAAATATATTCACGATGTAACAAACTGATATGTGCAATGCCGTTACACCTGAAGAAAGACGCTAAGGATATCCAGGGAGATTAATTTCAACAGATGTGTACCAAACAATCGCCAAACATCACCTATTGAGATTGGACGTTTAAAATATCTGCCATTTATATCGATTACGTTTGCCTCGTGACTTACTTTTGTACGTTTACCGCCCGGGGTATCTGTGGAGGGTGGATGACTACGAGCAGGATGATGACCACCTCCACGAGTTTTTCTGCGTTTTCGTTTACTGCTGTAACTCTCCTCGTAATCATAGTCGCTATCAGGATCAGGTTCGTCATAGGCATCCATGTCCAACATATCTTGCTCGTCGTAATACCATGCGTCTTTACTGTGTTCGTCTGAAAGCGCATTCAATTTTTTTCTCATTCGTATGAAAGACCGGGCGTCTTAATATAATTTACAATTTCTATGCAATTCTGTGTACCTTTAAGTGCCACCGAATCTTTGCTGTCGTCATTTACATGCGTAATAGTTTCCACGCCTTCCGTTCCGTCCTCCGTATCTCCCCTCGGCCCGCGTTTCGGATGCAGGTAGTGCATTAAATATTGCCGGCGTTTCTTCCGCCATCGTTTACTCGGGTAAGTGTAAATCTGGCCGTGCAACAAGCCCGGCAGTCTTTCTCTCGAGGACATAAAAAGGGCAGAGTGATTTTGTGCCACACCTGCGAGTTCAAACGAGCTCTTATACTGTTGTTTAAAGACAAAGTCACACCGATGCAATATCATTTTACAATATACGATACATCGCAATTAATATCACTGCTGGAGCGTGCGAAATTTGACCGATGCCAATTAATATAAATTAGATCGACAAGTCTCTCTGCATTTGCACAAAATGTACCGTCCGTTTAAAATCACCTAAACTAAGAATTGGTACGCTTCGTTATCTAAGCGACCTTGTGCAACACCTGCGAGTTCAAACGAGCCTTTATACTGCTGCTTAAAGACAAAATCATATCGATGCGATATTATTGTAAACATATATCACGATTAATATAATGAACATATCAATTTGACTGACACCAATCGATTGACAAAAATCTCTCTACGTTTACGCAAAATACACTGCCCACTTGAAATTAAGCTAGGAATTGATATCACTTCGTTATCTAATTAGACGCAAGGGAGATCCTCGCAGTAATCAAGAGATCAACGTCGCATCTTCCAAAGCCTTCGCGGAATAAAACCGTTCTATCAGCCCATTTCATACATTTTCCCCCCCCGGGCAAGTATTCGGCGTCCACGCCGAATCTGGTTGACAGAAATCAATAATGGCCAGAGCACCGCTAATCGGCCCGGACCGATCGATTCTGCGGCGAAGGCGCGGCCGCTCGGACGGCGAACTTTACCTGTCTGCGAGTCGAGGAAGGGCATGCGAAGACGTCGCTCCCGGCACAGTCGGCTATTGTAATTGGACGAGTTCTCAATGGCCTCCCGGTAAGCCGTGTCGTTGAGGAAGCTGAAAGCGGATCGATACGGTTAACTCTCGGCCGCTCGCCGACGCGAAACGTCGCGCTCACCTCTCGATCTTGCTCAGATTGCTCTCGTTCACGACCTGTATCATTCCGCTGTTGCCGTGAGCCATCGCCGGGGAGATCGCCACCGTCGTCATCCTCGGGCCGTTCTGTCCCACGTCCCCCACGCTCGCGCGCTCCAAGCACTCCGGCCAGTCCCGCTTGCGCTCCGCCGCGCCGTAACGTCGCCCCCGGTTTCTTCCCGGAAGTGGCGCGCCGCCGCTGGTCGAACGACGCTCCGCGACGCGCGCGACGGCGGGCGCGTGTCTCCCGCGTACGACGCCTGCGACGACGGCGACGAGCGCCACTGACGGCGCGGGGAATTGTTGGCGCGCCAGAGGAAACGACGTCGACGAGAAACGCGTCGGGCGTCTGTCGGCTCGGCATCGTCAACGACGTCGGTGGTGCCGGCGCGTTGTACCCGAGGCGCGCGCATCATCCTGTTCGAATATTCATGTACCGTACGCCGGTGCAGGAGTCAATAGTCTCGCTTGTTAATTGTACGCTGTAAAAAAATCTTTCAAGGTGAAAGGACGCCAAGTGTAAGCGCCGTCCAGTCCAGAATTGTAAAATTTAATTGTTTGAGTATATTTTGTTAACGAAAAAAAACATTTTTATCTTCTCCACAAAAGTAATGTCGTCAAATTGCGCCAACTAAAATTTTGATTGTATTAGTACGAGCGGGAGTCCGGAAGTGAATTGTAACTTTCGAGGCTGCCGCGCTCGAAGCTTTTAATTGACGCTATTCATTGCTTATCTCTGCATCGAATTACCTGCGAGTTCGAACCTTCTGAAATTCCAAATAAAACGCAACTGTCGAACATTTCAGTATCGCGAATCTTTAAATTTTAATTCGCATCTCTTTCCCGTTGGATTATATTCCTTCTTGCGAGTGTCGAAATCTTTTTGGCAATAATTCCATGTAAATGAAAATGTTATGGCAGTACAAGTTGCAAAACGATATACATATGAATTCACATTTTAGATCACAATTATTGGGTTACCAACATCTGGCTCGGACCTAAAGGCGCTCCCGTTCGATTCAAAATCTTTTTACTTTTAAAATCGATTGTCGGTGATGCTAAGAGACACTTGGAACACAGATTTAATGTGCACTTGAATATGTATTCTAAAAAAATTGAAGATCAGGGACTTATTCTCGAATATATATAAAAAAAATACAGCTAGAGCAATGTATGTATGTTACATTATATAAATATCGTTGTGATCAGAGACAAAAATAGACCATATTGACGAGTGTCCTTAAACTATGATGTACCTATCGATAAGTCACTGATTAATTAGTATTAACGTTCCTATAAATTATGATTGCAATTGTATTATAATAAAATAAGTTGTGTAGAAACGGTAATTGATAGTATATTGCAATAAATCAAAAGTGTGTACAAAGAATAGTCAAATATTTAACAATCATAATAAATGCCACTGTAAATACGCATAAATTATAATATCCCTGATTCAATTTTCATACGTCTATGGAGTAATCGATGAAAAACTAAACATATTGCCTTAGATACAGAAGAAATTTGTGGAGAAAACATGGATGGAAAAATGGATCCATGTTGCTATTAAGTGTATTAATATCGATTGATCAAAATATCGTGCGATATTTAGAAATAAATTAATTTGTTTTAAAATACACAAGTTGCTGAATTAAGATTTTAATTCGCCGCTTTGATCTCTCGTCTCTTTCAGGACTTTCAACTTGGCGATTAACTCGTCCACCGCCATTTCACCGTGCACCACGTTGTCCCTCGTTCTTATGTTCGCTGTGCCGGCGTTACGTTCCTTCTCTCCCACAACTGCAATCAAATTTACGGCCGTTAGTGGCTGTTACGGTAAGATAAATGAACAATATAATTCGAAGAAAGATATTTTATAAATTTAAAACAACGGCACACTATACTAGTTTTCCTACTGGACTGCCTACGTGAACCAACAAGGATGCAGAGTTTTAGATCGAGTGACTCAAGGCTAAATCCTGATTGGCTCTCGTAATCAACCCAGTAGGAAAACTGGTGTCGCGTGCCCCAAGTTTTATTCGTCAAGGCCTGCGTTCGTTTTCTCCCACTGGGAGCATAAACTATACCGAAAGTCTATAATTTACGCGACGTGAACTATAGAGTTTCGGTATAGTTTCTGCTCTCGATGGGAGAAAACGAACGCAAGCATAAGCTCGGTACGTACCGAGTATAAAGTTAAACTGCGCAAGCTGAGCGTTACGGATCTTCTTCTTCAGAGTATCGCTCGGATCGGTGTCGATCTCGACCATGACGCCAGCGTCCCAGAGTTTCCGTTTTACTTCGTGGGCATAATCGTCGAATTGCGACGCTACCGGTACAACCATCGCTTGCCGCGGCGACAGCCAGTACGGCCATTTACCGCCATACGACTCGGCTAGAATCGCAATCATGCGCTCTACGGAGCCCAGGATCGCTCTGTGTATGATCACCGGCTGGGTCTTCTCTCCAGCTTCGCTGTAAATACATGACGGAGATAAGTGACTTGTACTCGGATTAATCAGCGTTTAAATAAATCTCTTTCAACGGATACCTACTTAACGTAAGACAGATTAAACCTAATTGGCAACTGGAAATCCAATTGTATCGTAGCCGTCTGATGAGGTCTTTTAAGCGCGTCCATGATGGTTATATCGATTTTAGGTCCGTAGAACGCGCCATCCTCGGGATTGAGGGTCCACGGCTGGCCGAATGCGTTCAGACTCTCTTCCAATGATTTCTCGGCCTCGTTCCACACTTTGATGTTGCCCAAGAACTTCTCGGGTCGCGTGGACAGGCATAAATTGAACGTAAAACCAAGGACGGAATAAACATGCCAAAGAAAGTCGAGTGCGCCGCTTATCTCGTCCTTAATTTGGTCTATAGAACAGAATATGTGCGCGTCGTCCTGTTGGAACCGCCTCACCCTGGTGAGGCCCGTCAACGCGCCCGACAGCTCGTTGCGGTGCAGCACGCCGAAATCCGCAAGTCTGAGCGGCAGCTCGCGCCACGATCTGCACCGAACGTCGAAGATCATGCAGTGTCCCGGACAATTCATGGGCTTGAGCGCAAAAGTTTCCTTCTCCACGTCGAAGGAGAACATATTTTCCGCGTAATGCTGCCAGTGTCCCGAGGTCTGCCACAGCTTGCTGTTGTAAATGTTCGGGGTGATCACCTCCTGAAAGCCTCTCTTCCTGTACTCGGAGCGAATGAACTCGGCCAGGGTGTTGTATATATACGCGCCGCGCGGCTGGAAGAAGCAAGAGCCGGGCGAGAGCTCGTGGAAGAAATACAACTCCTGCTCCTTCCCGATCTTCCTGTGGTCCCGCTTGGCCGCCTCCTCCTGGAACTTCTCCCATTCCTTCAACTGCTTGGAATCCGGAAAACTTATTCCGTACACTCTCTGCAGCGATTCCGCGTTAGCCTTCCCCTCCCAGTACGTGGACGAGTTCTTCGTGATCTTCGCGGCCTTGATCTTACCCGTGTGCCTGACGTGCGGACCCTTGCACAGATCGATCAGCGGGCCGCACCTGTAAGCCGTGGTGGTGGGCGTTTTTACCTTCTCGTTTATAATCCGCACCTTGAACTCGTTGTACTTGAACATCTCCAGGAGGTCCTCCTTGGTTATCTCCAGCCGTTCAAACGGCTGTTTCTCTTTCACTATGTTCTTGTACAAACCCTCCAGATAGGGGAAGTCCGTGTTGGAAATGCCCTTATCGCCCAGGAACATATCGTAGTAAAAGCCGTCATCGATGGGAGGACCGTAACAGAGGCAGCCGCCGTAAACCCTTTCCATGGCTTCCCCGAGGATGTGAGCGCTGGAATGCCAAAACACTTTCTGGCCATCCCGATCGTCAAATTTCAGCAGCTGCAGTTTACAGTCGCGTTCCAGAGGTCTGTCAAGATCCCACAGTTCGTCGTCGACTTTGGCGATTACGGTATCGTCCGCCAATCCTTGGCTAATGCCCCTCGCAACGTCGTAAGGAGTTGTGCGCCAGGACTGCGCGGGTATCGCCTTACCGTCCGGAAGAGTCACCGTTATATTTGCAGGAGTTTTTGCGGCCAGCGCGGCCTCGTATTCCTTTTTCAGTTTATCCCATAATACGATGCGGTTCTACAAAGACGTATAAAAATTATCAAAGAATCGTTGAAAAGTTCTTACAGAAAACAGAGCTTGGTATTTTTTCTTTTTAAGATACCGACGCAGGTATAGTTACAGATGTAGCTACTATCTGTATCTTTCTCTATAAGAAAAATAATACAGTGCATCTTGCGTCTACACCTGTACTCTGAATCCTCTTATCGATAAAGGCGTCTCTACAAGTGGCTTGCAGCCACTCGATCAGAAGACTTATTAGCCACTTTTAGAGATGCCTTCATCGATAAATGAGGATTCAGAACACAGGCCTGTATCTAAATCGAAGGGATTCAAGACACGCAACTGTTATCCGTTGTCTCTTCATCGAATCCGTCGAAAATTTATATTGTATCTTTGATGGAAAGAGTCAACAGGCCAGACTCTGGGACTTTGCCAAGATACCAAGCTCTGGCAGAAAACAATACATCTTGAACGCATCTCTGCATGTATTTCGCAAGTGTATTATTCTCTGGTGCATCAACGCGCGAAAAATATTCCAGCTCAAAGCTTGAGAGTAATTATACGTACAGAGAGAACTCACTTAAAAGCGCTTAAATCTTCGACATCGGGTACAAATTTACCTGGATGTAAGAGGGCCAGGGATTAAGCTCCGATACAGATTTCTCCGGCATAACTGCTTTCTTTTTCAGCGCCTTCAGTGACTTCGCCTGGAAAAACAAAGCGCTGAGAATAAAAGCCGCCCGAGACCGCGTGGCAAGCTGGAGGCCGCGAAGGATCGTCGCGTGTCAGGCAAGCGTCAGGTGACACATTGCGCGAAACAATGATCATAGGTTACGTCAGATTATCGATTCTGACGTTTGTCAATGGGTCGCGCGTCGCGGACAAGAGCCACGTTTCAACGCGACCACCTGCATTGTTTAGACAACGAAATAACGAGGTCGAGACTTAATAGCGTAATAATTGAGCGAGGAGGAGTCGAAGAGGCGGGGAAAAAAACGTCTTAACCAACCCGAACATGTGTCCACTCAATACCGCCGTAAACGGTCCTAAGAACGTGAAAACGTGAAGTCGTCAGCATGGTCTAACGGTACTGAAAACGCGCGAGAATTTTATATGTTAAGTTGGATATTCGTGCCTTATCCTCCGCCAAGGTCAGGTCTTGCACGTCGGCCACCACGTTGTCGCCCATGTTGGAAATCCACGCGATCAGGTCCGCCGGTCGCAACTAATCTCGCTTGGCAATTCTCTCGAGTCTGCGCGAGTGAGAAGCGCGATCGAATTATATTACAAGTAGAGACTAGCAGAGACCCTCCGATCAGAGACTGGCCATTAGGAAGCGAGCTGTGATTGGTCCGCCATTTTTCCTTAATTCGCGCCAGTTTTACAAAGCGGTGATTATTCAGTTTAGCTCCCAAATCCATCCAAAATCGAATGAAATTGCGCTCATTCGACGCGCTTTCGCTCGAAACAAAAGAATCTGGCAGAAAAAAGCGTCGCTCTACCCCGCGAAATGAGACGTTAATTGTTGAAGTTGGCTACTGTCAGGGTCGGTATGACAGGTTTCTTGACAAATAGCGAATTCGATTGCTAGCACTAGCGCGCACCGAGTGCACATTAAGGACTGTTTGTGGTCAATTTTTTATATTTAACATTGTCTTAAACATATGTTCAAAGAGTATTTAGCCAAAAAACGATCCGCGCGGATGCTGTATAAATGATCATTTTACTGGCTACGAAATATTTAAGACGATTCTCAAATGTAATGCGCAGTCTACAATGCGAGTCGCAGAGTCGTAGTCGTAAGAATGATCGACTACGATTGGTCAATTTCGTCAGGCACATAAAGCCTCTACAATGATTCTCGGTTCTGTCTACAATGGTCGTAGTCATAGTCGCTCGATAAGAATTGACCAATCGCAGTCAATTATTCTTACGACTACGACCATTGTAGACAGAACCGAGAATCATTGTAGCGGAGGCTTAAGAATTGACCAATCATAGTCAACTATTCTTACGACTACGACTTTACGACTTCTATGTAGACGAGGCTTTACGAACTTGCGACTTTAGTACCGTCTGGCGATAAATCTCGATCACGAATCCTTTCGTTTAGCATAAACTCGTGAAAAGCGAAAAATTTTATTCACAAATTCACTATTCGTCAATAAAATACCGGAAATAGTCAGAAATTCATTAGATTTCGTTTTCTTTGAAACTTGCCGACAAACTTACGATGTACGATTTAATTCGCGCGTACGCATACGCAATATACGAGTATAAACGAATTTTTCTACCAAACACAAAAAGGAATCGTTCATATTTAATTTCTCGTAATCAATCTTATACGAAATGTGCACTTACGTTTCGCGGTACGATTGACCAAGTCTCGTGACACACAAGAAACACGAAGAATCTACGAGTGAAAATACACGCGATGTGTCCGAATACGAGCATCGATTAAAGAAGCAATTGACGTTCATAATTATCGCAATGAACAAGTAATTTTAAATCAGCTTTGATTCTCGGACCTACAGATCTGAGAGCGTAAACTCATAGAGCGGAACGGTGTACGCAGAATATCGCGGAACGAGAGCCTTGACCAATCACGAACATTCCGCTGCTTTCGTGATTGGTCAAGGCTCTCGTTCCGCGATATTCTGCGTACACCGTTCCGCTCTATAAGTTCGTATCCTCATGTGCGAATCGGACGAGATACCCGTCTCGCCGGTTAACCGAGCGTCGATGGTAAGTCGCGAGGATCACGCGACGACGTCGATCGCTGATTATTCGCAGCGAGCGATCGCGATTGCTTCCCGTACTCGTCGCGAGCGCGAACAGTGTGTCACCGGGTACACGCTCCAAGAAACGAAGACGACGTCAATAACACGCTCGAACGGCAGTACAAAAAACAATGCGACGCACGTCTCACTTCGGCGTGACGCGCCGCTTGTTTGTCTCGAGCCGCCGCGGCCGCTGCGCGCGAAGGTCAAGGAACGTTCCGTACGCCTCACTATCGTTCGGGCCGCCGGCACGTACGCCACGGGGCGACGCGCGCGATCGTTCGCCCGCGCAATTGAGCGACGCCACGGCCTCTCGATCCCGCGGGTGCCGCGGAACGTCGTCCTCGTTTCTCGGAGCGTGCAAAGGAGTTACGGGAAGCGAGCCGTCGAATCGCCGTCTACCGTTCGCGCTCGTTATTTCTCCCGATGTAACCTGAGTGGAGGAAAGCCGCGAGTTTGTCGATTGCTCGTCGTTAACAAGTGCGTGAATTAGTGCGTTTATTTGAGCTACACTGTGCGGGCGATATTCAAGTGCCGTCGCTGACTCGACTCGCGTAGTAGCCGGGGGCCGCCAGTTACCGGCGCCATGTTAGTCCGTTCGAGAAGCAGCAGTGGCGAGTGTCGCGGACACGCAGCGGACCGGTCTCCCGCGCCGACGGTCGTCGCGACGCTGCTCGCGACGCTTTCCGCGACGGTGGTGAGTAACGCAGATCACGTTGAGCACTCGCGGCGTAGATTATTCGGCATCCGCGCGTCGGCGATCCACCGAGACGCGTAAAACCTCGCGAGAAACGCCGGAGTCTTGGGCGCAGCCGGATCCTCGCGGCGCCGCGCGTACACCCGAGACCCGAGATTTTAACGCGCGTCTCTTCGCGCGTGTAGAAATACACGGTTTTCCGCCTCCCGTGTCTCCAAGTGCACGCTCCGAGAAACGAAGACGACGTTCCGCGGCATCGCGGGAATCCGAGAGGCGCGATCGCGCGGCCGTGTGGGCGTCGCTCGATTGCGAGGGGAAGGCGAACCGTCGAATCGCCCGCTGTTCGCGCTTTCCGCCGTTCTCCACGACGCGTGACGCGCGGCGACGGAAGTGTTGGCGCGAGATCGCCCCGTCGAACGGGCTCGCGTCGACCCTCGCGTATCTCCGAATGCTTCTTCTCGCCGGAACGTTCCCGCCATTTCGCGCGACGCCGTCGTGGCGGCTCGCATCTCTCGCTCGCGTTGTAACGGAGCTCGCGTCGGTTAACGCCGGGAGTGCAGTGTCGCGCGTTACTCGGATATAATCGGCTTCATTTTCGCGAGTGCCGCGTAGTGCTGTGTCGTGCCGTTTGCCAGTGCGAAACGGAGGAATCTGAGAGGAAGCGGCGGCCTCGGGAGGCATCGGGCGACAGCGGAGCAACCCTCTGGTAAGTAGAATTGTTTATGCATTATTCTCGCGTTAACTTCATTCCGCGGATTGCTTTTGTTCGCCTTTCCGTCCATTCGACTCGACCGTTGGAACGATTCGCACGAGCACTCGTCAAATGTTGTTTCGTGGAAAAGGTTCGCGCAAATAACGTACAGAAACGGTTCACGTCCAAGTGAGAAATGATTCGTTGATCGAAACGACGTCGAATCGATATCGACACCGTCGAATTGACGTCGGTTCGACACGTAGATCTGAATAAAATTTACGACACATTCCTGCCACTCCTAGTATCATTATACATGTCTAGGACGAAATGTTGTTTTAACAATAATTATACGTATCTCGCCTTTGGCGATCTGTCTATTAATCTGTGCCTCAATCATGTAATGTCTAGTTACATCGACTTCTAAAATCATCAGATCTTGAGAGACCTGACACTTGTATCGAATATTCAATGTTACTGTCTATTAAGATCTAATTGTGTTCTCTTAGGATATTTAATTTTAGATTTAGTCAGATCTCAATAGACAACGTCGAACGTTCAAGGAAAGTGTCGAATCTCTGAGGGTCTGATGATTTTTAGAATTGGATCTCATGAGATATAATTACACTAAAAAATATCTTCGTCCAAAAAAATGTTACTGTACTCAAGAAAATTATTCATTAGGTGGCTCCTAATAGCTTATTAACTTAAATTAAAAAAATAATAAACAAATTGAAACACGCATTGCTTTAATTTAAGTATTTATTAAATATCAAAGAATAGAGATAATTTTTAATTAAATAACATCAAATTCAGTTGTTCGTATCTGGCAATTTTTATGTTAAAGCATCGCGACGTTTCGACTATTGGTTTTGGTCCTTTTCAAGCGATCTGACAATACAAATTAAAATTTACAAATTATTACATAGATACAGTAAACATTCCGAGATATTAAGTTAGTCATGTACATAGACTCTCGTGTATTTTGGTGATGGAGATTATAATAATAATTCTTTCTCCGTCACCAAAATACACGAGAGTCTATGTATATGACTAACTCATTGTCAGGTAACTGTTAATTTAATATCTCGGAATGTTTACTGTATCTATGTAATAATTTGTATATTTTAATTTGTATTGTCAGATCTTGAAAAGAATCAAGACCCATGGTCGAAACGTCGCGATGCTTTAACATTAAAATTGCCAGTCAACTAAATTTGATGTTGTTAATCATTGCTGGCGGCCCTGAAGATTTTCCTGTGAGTTTAAATTAAATATATGTATATTGTGCATTAATAAAAAAAATTTATTTTAATTCTCTAAAATGTTCACTAAGATGTAAGTTTCACAGCGAAGAAAATTACTTTATTTAATAAATAGTATTCTATATCTCATGAAATCTTTATTTGAATGTAGAAAATGTAATGATTTAAATTAATTTACTTTATAATACATAGATTTACATAAAATTTGATATTCGTCTTTAAATAAAATAAATATTTACTTCAGTATAAAAAAATTTTTTTTAAGTAAATCTATTTACTTAGTTTAAAAAATTATTTTGTCACACAGTGTAGATATTACATGATTAATATTTTCCATTTTTCCGGTTTAGTGTGTCTTTTGTTTCAAAATTCCATAATTTCGAAATACTAAATAGGGAACAAAAAGTAATTTAAAATTTTCTTTAATTTTATTCTCGTTAAGATCTTTTGCGGAAAATTCCTCGCGTGATAATCATGTAAACATCTAACCAAAAAAACTCGATTTGCATAAGAATTATATTTTGCAATATCAATTTTTTTAACATTACTTTAATATGAATTCTATATGATTCTATATTTTTATGTTTTCGTATGTTTCAGAATCAACACAACGTAGCTAACTCCGCTGCTGCGCATCGGTGGTAAGTTAGAAACTTTTTTTATTTTGGCAACGAATCTACATCTTGTAGATCGTAGATTAGTATAACTTAGTATAACTCGTAGATCCGTTGCCTAAAAATGGATAGACTACAATATAATTTCATGTTCATTTTAATATGTTTCATCTATCGAAGGGGGCTATTCGCGATTTTTACTGTGGAGGGTTGAAAGCCCCGTTACAGCACATCACATTTTAACGCAAAACATGACGAATATTATTGATTATTCGTCAAGCTAATCTCTCGTAGCCTATCCATTTTTCATTAACAAATTTGTATATAAAAACAATATGACGTGAGATTGTAATATTGTGTCGGGAACGCTGAAACTTGGTATTATTTTTATACATTCTTTGAGATTATGAATTAACTAGAATATTCAATTGTCAGTCCATCGTACGGAAAGTTTCTTTTCTCTGGATCTCACGTCATTTATTCTGTTTGTGTATTCCGCAATACACTTTCAAGATGCGTCTCGCATGAACACATGCAGAGTTACACGCATCTTCGTATTTTCGCGGTCGGTCTTCGCGATCAGTTTTGCAAAAATTTCAAGAAATTATTTTTTAATTTCGTTCATATTATAAATTTTTATTTATCGCGGAATGTAATTAAAATATAACGCGAGGTACATCGTTTTTTTTCTATATACAGTTATACTTGAATTTCGAATTTAAAGATTGAGTCACGAAGAGACAGTCACTATTTATTATCGAATAAATAACGGTAGTAAAAATATTTTATTAGCTTTATACAGAAAAGTTTTTAATTAATTTTTTTCTTTAATTAACTTCTCGTGGTCGTGCATGAAACGATCGACGCTCGCATATAGTTCGAATCGTACGAAATATCTGTCGGTGACGATAATAAACCGACTATGGAAGGAGTTTTCTTCCTTCCTGATCTCTGGTCAAAATGACCAGACTATATGGCCAGGAGCAACAAAAGGTACGTCCAATCTGGCCCAACGAAAGAAGACTGGATACGACGATAAATAATTTGATATCTTTTTATTTGTCAAAATTCGGGTGGGTTATTTTTCTTTTTCTTTATACATATATTCTCGCATGCAATGTATGCGAGATTGATAAGATTAAGTCCTAATCGCGCGCGCATTATAACCCGAAATCGGATCTTTTAAATCGCGTCGCGGTTTTAATGAAAGACTTGTAGGTTTATTAACAAAAAGTTGAAACGCGGGTAGGTAGGACTGTACAGCGGAATACGGGTAGGTAAGGATTATTCGAGTAGGCAGGGACAGGGGGACATAACTCGATAATTAAAAAGATAGGTAAAATTATTACCGCAATGTATTGCTATTAAATGTAATTATATTTGCCATTATTTGTAATAAAATACTTTTAATAAAATATATATTTCTAGTAAAATATACTTTTAATAAAAAAAACTCTACAAGTTAATATATTTTTAATAAAATATATTCAATTACTCTAAATTAATTATTAAAAACATTACATTGCAATTTTGTAGTATTTCGGCGGAAAATCCAAAACGTATATGTGCTATTATATAATGGGGATCAGATTATATATATATATATATATAGTAAAAACGAGCACATACATACAATAAAAGTTAATTTATAGATACATAAATTTAATGTATATCTAAATAATCCGAAAATGGCTATTAAAAAAGTAGGGATTAGAACTCTTTATAATTCATGGCACACCCCAGTCAGAAATTACTCGTCGATCGACAAGTCTTTTCTCGCTGGGCCATTTGTGTTAATTAATCTTTAAACGACTTTTAAATATAGGACACCTAAACTGTCCTTTTCATTACATACATTTGCACATGTGTAAGCAATTGGTTAGTAAGGGTCTGTTACTGAACCGGCTGCACTAGGTCAGAGTATATCTTCCTTCCTCTACGTTGGAAAAAGAAAAAGCAACTCTGAACTAGTGCAGCAAGTTCAGCTAAAAAGAACAAGATCCCTTTATGCTGCATTTCTAACAGCTTTGCAACTATGTATTGGAAGACTGTTGTACGGCACAAGTAGTTCACGCTTTATCCATTAATCGATCGCTGTCTCTCTCGTCAAGTAGACGTTAGTGAATGCATGGTTTGTACCGATGGAGAGTCGTAACGATTTTCATGGAGAGTTATTTCTCGTCGAATTTCTATGAGACCTATTCGCGACGCCTAGGCCGGTATTCATAATCAGATGATCTTACATTCAAGACCGTCTTGAATTTATTTAAAGATGCTGAATGGAACATTTCATTGGCTACGGAGTATCTAAAGATGATCTTAAGATAATCTTGAATTTGACTATGAATACCGGCCCTAGTTCGGTGCCTCGTTGAATCTCTGAGGGTTTGCAGGGCCGAAATTAATCTCGGGTTTTTTGGTGGTTTCGACAATAAGTTAACGTCGGCAACCATGTAATTCTTAAATTCGAATCACAAATTCGATTGATTAATATGTGATAAGGAAAGACTTTGTTCTTTTCCTTAAATGCCATCCCATTAATTAATACTAATATTTCTGTAACGTTTAAAAACTTAGTAGATTGAACATGGTTAGCGATTGTTACAGACAAAGTTGAACAGTATTAAAGAAGCTAAGGTCTCAAATTTAGTCCTTTCATACAATTTCACTTAATACAATGTAGTTTGGTAAAATATATATAAAGAATTAAGATTCTATTAAACAAAGGTCCAATAAAATTATCGGGCGCACCTCAAGATTGTACTTCGAAAGATCTTAAATGCAAAATGCCGTGTTTTGAATACTACTCGAAGAAATGTATTCGAGTAGACACTCTTTGAATTTAAAGTTTCATCGATTAACCTTATTAATTTACGAATATTTACATCAGATTTGTATATAAAAGTTATATTTAAATTGCGCGAAAACTTTGTAAAAAAAATGCCGATCCTGCCAGGATTCGAACCTGGAATCTTCTGATCCGTAGTCAGACGCGTTATCCGTTGCGCCACAGGACCGTCATAGAAACGTGAAAATAAAAATTGTATTTTACCAAACTACATTATATTACTTCAACATTGGTCCATTTAGATTTGTTAGAATCTTTTATTAACTAAAACTTAAAAAAATTGTTAGAATGTTGAATTCATTAAAACTTTAAAAAAATTGTTAGAATCTTCAATTAAAACTTAAAAAAACTTTCCAATATTATTACAAATTTTACTTATAACAGATTTTTAATACCATCTCACTCCACATACATGAAATTTATTTTTATGTCTTACGATTAAACTTCACGAACATGCATAATTGCACAAATGAAAATTCTTTATATATATTTTATCAAGCTCCATTGTATTGCCTCTACATTTATCCACTCACATTTGTTAGAACCTTTTATTAATTAAAACTTAAATTAATTCGTTAGAATCTTGAATTAGAACTTACAAAAATTACTCTCCAATATTATTAAAAAATCTACTTATAACAGATTTTTAATACCATTTCGCTCCACATACATGAAATTTATTTTGATGTCTGACGATTAAACTTTATGAATGTTCGTGACGTTCAAATAGCAACAAACAATTCTTCAACTGCAAACAACAAGAAATATATCTACGTACAACCAAAAGACGCGACAGTCTTACGCAAATAAGTTGGTACGTTATACAAGTATAAAAGTTAATTTTATTGACACGCTTGAAAATTAAATCGAAATGGCGTGTGAGGTCTGTCACCGTCAGCTTGCTTTGCGCTCTGTAATACATTTTGCGTTCTCTTATCATCCATCTTGGAATCTTGTATACCACGTCCGGTAGCTTTCTTGACAAATATTGACTTTCTGTCCGCCGAGGCAGAACTAGTGAACTTGACGGCCGATACGGTCTTGCCAAACTTTCGCTCGTCCTCAACCATCTTCTCTCTGTAGTCGCCCAACGTATTCCTCATTATCTGTCTCTTTCTTATTAACGACGCCGTGTTACTTTTCAACGAGTTCAATTGCCTGCTGAGTTCTTGCGCCTGCTTCATCTGCAATTTCCCGGCAGCCAGGCTCGCCTCTAACTGCTGTATGCACCAGCACAGCTCCAATTCAAAACGATCCTCCGCTTCTGGATCCAAACCGCTCGCGTTGCCGGCATCCACCGCCCTAGGCGGCACATTCGGTTCCGACGTACTCTTGTTACTCCCGCTGTTGCGTTTAGAATTCTAAAATAAATGCGAGTCATATGTCAGTAAACACCGAGCATCAGTTACATTGCATTTACGTTACAATTTCTCACTCAACAATGTAAATGTAATATACACCTGTGTGTTTGTATTACATTTACATTGTTGAGTGCAAAATTGTAACATAAATGCAATGGTCACTCAACAATATAAATGTAACAACACATTATATTACATTTACACAGGGTTGGGAAGTAACTCGTTACTTGTAGCGAAGTTACAGATACAGTTACTTCTTTTTGACAACTCTAACTTAACTTCGTTACTTTTTCTCCATCTATAACTGTAACTTAACTCAGTTACATTAGTAGTTACTTTATATATTTTTTTTTTTAAACCTCCACAGACCGCATTAGGCCTTGCATTTGCGCGCAAACGCCTTTATCGACACTTTATATACAATTCAAATGTAGATTTGATATTTTTATTTTCCTTGCAAGAAAGTAACTGCAAAGTAACGATTCGTTACTTTTTGAGTAACTGTAACTGTAACGCGTTACTTTTCAGAATTGGTAACTTGGAACTGTAACCAGTTACATTTTTAGCAAAAAAAAAACTGTCACTGTAACGAGATACTTTTATAAAGTAACTTTCCCAACACTGCATAAATGCAACGTAACTGGTGCTCGGTGTTTACTGGGATTCAACTGTCCCAATAATAGACACGTTGTTTTTTAAATAAAGGAATGAGGATTTTCTCAAATTACCATCGCTGGTTTTGGCGGCATTTTCACAATCAGATTTATTACGGCTTACGGCTTTTACGTAGTTACAAAATCACAATATGCCATACGTAAATCTACTTATGTTATACGATTAAATTCTAGAATACGTGTTGTCCATAACATATCATTTGGCAACGCACATGTCAGGTTATGTTCGGAACGTGTTGTGGCGACGGTGCAGCCATCTCTCATGCGTAGAAGGAAAACGTACGAAACCCGATCGTTACATCGCGATCGCGCGATCGATAAATCGGTCGAGAGTTCGAAATTCAAACGAGGACAAACTTGGCGACAACGTGAAAAGCAAAAATCTCTTCGAATTTGAAAGTCCCGCGTGCGATTTGCTCAACCCCTTCTAATTACGTTCACCTTCAGTATCTACAGTTACAAGCTCGTCGCTTGTACGCGAGTTTGCGCTCGTCTCTATCCTCTTTTCCGAAGTGAGATTCGCGAGGATAGAGTTTTATCTTCCGGTTTCCGCTAGTGCTGGAATGGGGAAAAAATTGCGATTACAAAGGCGGAAATAAACTCGTATGTTTGCTACATGCCGGTAGTCAGTCTTTGCAATGAAGGACGGACGCACGAAAAGTGTGAGAGTAATTATGCGCAGGGGAAACGCAACACGAGAAAGCGAATGAATGGAAGTGGAAAAGAGACTGGATAGCGTATTGGCATGCGATACGAAAACGCACGGGCAGTTTGCGAAGAAACGAAAAAAGTACAACGGCCTTATTGAAACAGAATCATTTTAAAAACTTGGGAATTCGGCTGGACGCAAACTCCACACGATTTTCTGAATGGCTCAAGGAAACATTGTTTGCATATAGTTCGATAAGCAAAAGAAGAAATACATAGATATATTTTATATATATTTTTTCCCTGAAAGGAGAAACAGATTTCAGAATAAAGATCGAGAACTCGCAAAATGTAACGTACTTAAACTTTTGACCAACGCTTCGTTTTCGTTCAAATCGTCTTACGCGTGATAAAAAATTGAGAGACAAGAGAAAGAGAAATAGAAAAAAAACGGAAAATTATCGAGTTTTCGTATACTTCCCGATTAAAAATAAAAATTTCAATAAACGTAAAAATAAATATGCTACGAGCATACAGATAAATTCACAGGCGTGAGTTTCTTTCCCTTCAACCGAGCTGTTTCTTTTTGCAAGACGATCTTTTAGAGGAAAACATATTTGTGCATTTTGGTAAAAGTGGAAGAGCGGTAGAAACGTATAAGACAGTGTACACAGTATATATAGACGACAGGGTGACATTAATTCTTCAGAATATATTTACAAGAGCAGTACAAAGAATAACTCGATATTACACATATATATTCGTTACGTAGACTAACGAGTAATAGGTATAAGCAGGTGAACAGTTTAAATATTAATTGAGGCACGTGATAATAAGGCATTTCTACAGAGGATAGACACACGGTCGTACGCACGTAAGATAGAGCGTTCTTTACTAAAAAGAAGAAGAAATAAATTAAATAAAAGAAAGAATTGACCGACCATTTCGGGCTTCGAATTTAAATTGCATCTTCAACTCCCTTGATTTGCAGAGGAATATACAGTTTGGGGAAGCTAATGAACAGTTTCCTCATCATATTTTGAACACCTATTTAAGAGATCATACCACTTCGTTATATTAAAGAAATTTTCGTGAAAATAGAACTGTTGCGCAAATCGTGGAACAGATTACTTAAATGTGTCCATCAAAAATCTGTAATGTCGTACCGGTATAAATTATATTGTTAGCTTTAATATAAAAGAAGCGATAACGGACAACGCAACAAGATTCAAGATATTTGATAACGTCTTCTGCCTGAAGAACGTCACACCAAATTTAATTTCCGAGACGTTTTGGTGTCGAAACGTTAAAATAGAACCCGAAGATCAAGCTGAAGCATTTGCAAACCACGAAAAATCAAGAATTAAACATCTCCCTTTTACAAATGAAAACAAATATACTCTCGCGAGCAAACGCTCCTCTCAAATACAGTCGAATACACCTATACGTATTTAAATACTCGCACATTATTAAGGTATAACGAGATATGTCGATTCGCAGTTTGTTTCGGACCTTCCCTTTGAGAGGGTCAATTGTTCTCCAATATCTATCTTACGTGTTTACAATCGTTGCAAATTACATTAGTGGACGTCACAATGAAGATTGATATTCAGTGCAAACCAATTGTGCTACACTGAATAACATACCGACTTTTATCTTAAAGTGTGTGTTTGTATGTGTGTATATGTATCTTTGTATATGTGTGTACATAGACACGTGGTCGAGATCCCTAAAGTTTAGAACACATAGCTAACTGTCCGTCCGATCGTCCAAAGAAGAGAGGATGAGTCAAAGACTTGAAGGACACATTATGTACAATGCGGAAATAATTAACATAGACGTTTCCGTTAAGCGGTAAAAAAAAAAAGAACAGAAGAGAAAAGTCTGCGTGTCTTAATTTGCCCGCTCGTTGAAGCGACGACACCCGGTCTCTTCGACCGTACTTTACAACAGGTATATAAAATATCATCACACCGCGCGGTCCAGATTTAAGTACAAGATACAATCGGTTGGTCTGCGTTACACACTACACGAAGTAGAAATTTTGTGTCAGCTGACATAATTAGAAGACAACGAAGGTTCACGTACTTAAGGTGAAAAGGCAAAGGTATTGACGCGATTTGAGCAGCTATTTATAGACTGCGAATTCGGGAAAAAGGAACGCTAATACATCGATTATCCTTTTCCACATCACTGTGAACACATATCTTCGCAGAATTCAAGGATTAACATCCTGAAACTTGTATAGCTCACATCCTTTGTGTTTCAAAGTATATTTAGCGTAACACGTAATCACATACATACGACATCGAGCCGCTCGCAAAGAATTTGGTACTTGTGCAATCGCGCACAAAGTGATTACTCCTTAAGATATATAATTATCTATAAGAAGAAGATTCGTTACGCATTAAGCATTTCAAAATTCTTCCTTATCGTCGCGCTTTCCGAGACACAGGTCCACAGTTAACTGAATTGTCGTAGAGACGTCAGCGTTACAAAAATATCGCATTTCACAAAGATTTACACAAGAAAAATGTATATTAAAAATATATTGCATCTTCAAGAGACAAAACTGTGTGTATGTGTATGTATGTGTAAAACGAATAAAGATTATATACGCATATAATATACACAATTGTCTCGATGAAACAATGATACTAAAAGTTGAAGAAAAGATAATGAATAGACAGAAATTTTTGTCCTTTAATGGCAAGAGAGAGAGATATATATATATATATATATGTATATATTAAAAGTTACGTGTTTTTAAAATGAATTTGAACGCCAGTGTATCAAGATGCCGGATATGGCATATACTATTAACCGTCATGTAATATTGACTATTGACTTTATATAATTACGACTTACATATTTTTCCTGCATAAATGTGTTAAATATTTCGATTAATATGTATAGAAGTAGTTGCCTGCTATAGTTTTCAAGCATAACGAAGTTGTTTTAATAAGCAACTCGACGTGTATCGTCGAAATTTTTGTAAAACGTAATGAGATTGGTACGATATAGATTGGATTCTCACGTAACATTACAGTTAACAAAAACACAGTTTAAATGGGCATTATTAACAAGCAACAAAACACATTTCTATGGTAACAAACCGGCGAGTGACGTTTTACAAATTAAATTAGAAAAGAACATAGGAATTTGGACGACAAATCGTCGCGAAGTAACGCACAACGAAAGCATGCGAGCAACATGATGAATTCACAAAACAATTTCGGATGTCTGGCGCGAGTACAAATAACGTTAATATACAAAATGCGAGGACGCACTACACGTACATGTCGACAGTGAGTTGAGCACTGAGAGAAGCTACACAGGTGGATGGAGAATAATGCCAAAATAAAATACTGCCAAATGTAAAAACCAAGTAAAATGTATTCTATGGGCAACATCGTAATAATCATATCATTATGCTGATACACTGAAATATAACCACAATGTGTATGTGTTTACAAATGTTGTATGTATATGTGTATGTGTGTGTAATGTACACAGAGCGTTATCAAATAATCATTATTTATCACTAACTCTGACAATGATTATACTGACCAATAATAGGCAATATGGTAGCATGGTCATATACAGATCAGTAATAATAACGTATAACAATAACTGGGTAATGTCGAGCACCAAAGGTATAACGTACAAACAAAGGAGCTTTGTAATTCCGTGTCCTTAGCGTACTTTACGCCATCTCCATGAGCGCGCAAACCGTTCGTGGTTCCGGTTCGTGTACTCAAGTACTATTGCGTGTGGCATTGAATGTGCATAAGAGGATAAAGTATGTCTTTAAGATTTAGCACATAAAATTTCTCAATGGCTTCGCACTTATGTAACAAACTTGGCAAACATTATAATTATTATTACAAACATAAACCGAGTCTTTGTCTTCAACATTGTAAGTATTTTTTTTCCTTCCTCAAATATATTCTCCTATGATATTACTACTTAAAACGTAAAATCGGTATTCCCTTAATTAGTCAGTTATGATGGCACTATATGAATTACTTTCCTTTATTCTCGCAATTATCAGCTAACGTAACGCACGACTATAATATATTGTGTGTTATTACTATTACACATTATTATAATAACTTTTATACATATATATCCACATATGCATACACCCGGCTGTGCATGCATGATGTAAATCTTTCATGTGTGTGTGTGTGTGTGGGTGTGTGTGTACGTGTGTATCTGTGTATACATACTGTTCTATTTAAAATTTATACATTGTACAATGTAACTGTACCTCGAAATTAACTGTAACAGTACGATACGCAATTTTTGAGGAATTGTTGAACAACCTCCCCTTTAAACTGTATTATACAAATACGTGTATAACTACATAATAATGTTTAAAGTATGTCCCCCGTCATACATTTCATCTGTTAACAGAGTGCATTTCAAAACTAAGCGGAAACTCAATAATATGATAACTATATGTTAAAAAATATATGAAGGATCTCATAACTTTTGGTGTGATTGTGTACGTATCAAACAGGTCATACCGTTTTCAGTTTCAAAATGCACAGATACAGATAGTAACAGTAAAATGACGATATTCTTATGACGTTTAAAAATGTGATGCTACTTGGCTTTACAGATATGTCCAGTACTTAAATTTGTATTTAAACTTAATTGTGTATATATATATATATATTTATATATATTTTTATTTATTTATATTTGTGGTGACAACAGTTGTGGCTAGTACATATACATTGTATTTTATTTTGCTACATTGTTACAGTGATCTGGTACTTGTGCCGTGCATTGCAATTCGATTATTTGCGAACATTGCCTAAAGCCTATGATGGCCTCTTTTCCAAACAATCTTAGTTTATGCAATATAAAACGTCTAACCATCCGTAGATCTCAATTATCTTACACGTATGGCTCTTCTAACGATGGTCCATTTCGTTCACAGCGTTCCAACAATTTCAATAGTCTCTGAGTTTTTAACTACAATAATTATCATTACTTTTACGTATTGAATATCTGTTGAAATCTTGAGGCACAACTGTATGATCGTAATTCACGGCAAGTAACCAAAGAGTATTTAGAACGCAACGTAAACAAATATTTTAAAACGCAATATATATTTTAAACGTAATATATACAGCACAAATTAGCAGTAATTTTGCGCAATCGGACCACGCCTTAAATTGTCCCAAGTAAGAGAGAAAAAGCTTATGCAGTAGAATACAGCTTCAGTCACTGGGATATGAAAGTCTTCCAAAATTGATAACGTCTTCTCTGTATTACATTTTAAATGATATTTAAAAATTGAAATATATATACCTCTCGATATCTGCAGTCAAACAGTGAAAATTGCAAGGTATTAACTTCATTCCATTCTGCGTTGTTGACAACAATGTAACCTTTCGTCATAAGTTGTGCCGATCAAGACGAATACATCTTTAATTACATCAACTTAGTTTTGCTCACAGATATAACTTACACGTACTTCATATTAAAAATATACATTGAAGTGTACGTACATGTACTTAACGTACATTTAACAAATTGCCTACTCTTATGGGTTTTGTTATGCATTATCGTACTGTATGTTATGGTAAAATAGATCAGATAGTACATATAAACCTTGCATATAAAGTACTGCTCATGCTTTTCACATCACACTGTGACTGTTATAGAAGTGTTGATGTCAGAACACTCAAAATGACTTTAGATGGACTTATTATGCAGAGGGGATCATGTTAGATTCGATATCACAATAGGGCATTTCAGAGAAAGAATCAACAAGTTTTGGGCTCGTAATATCCGTTAAGATTAAATTTAAATTATATCCTGTATGTGAGATAAATATATGTGGGGAATTTTTACTTCCGATATTATCCGATGTAACAATGCCAAGATGAGAAATTAACGATTTAACGCGTTAACTTTCAACGTTTCGAAGTTACAAAAAAGTCACAACAGAGAATATAATATTGTCGTTAAAACAACGTTGAGAGAGAGATTGCCTTCAATTTTATTTGTGTTCCTTTTTAACATACCGGTCAAATGCATTTAAACGTAACACGAAGTTTTAAAATATAAATTCACATCCTTGTAAACATTTATACCTGCAAACCAGGTGTATACAATCATCTTTCATAATATATGAATAGAATATATTACAATTAAATATCAATTAAACATAATCAATTTCGTGTCAATAGGAAAAAGTTTAATAACTAGTGGAGACATATATACCTTTAATACATTAAAGTTTACTTCTTCGTTATGAAAAATAACAATTTCTTTATATTTTTTTGTTTGATAAAAAAGTGTGTTGGCTAAGAGATTGCACTTTGTGATCATCTTAAAAATTCGTGATTAAGATTAATGACTATACGCGTTACGCTTTCATATTCCACATACCGATTATTCGTACAGTCATATGAAACATTTCTAATATGCGTTAATAAAGAAAGTGAATATCGAGGGTCATACCTCGTCGTACAACCTTCGATTACAATAAAGGTTGCCTTCCCACGCTATTTGTCAAAAAGTCACATTATAAAGCTTACAACATCATATATTGTTTCTCGTATATATATATATATATCGCGCTTTAGTAGCTTATTATTTTCAAGACTTTATTAACAAATTGTACTGCATATACGATTTGGGAAAGCATCCTAACAGGAGGGCCACAAATGGTGCCAGGCACTATTCATTCATATACCTGCGTATTCCATTAGTACGTTAATTACAATAATTTATCAAATACAACTCTCGAGAACGATTCTCAACAGGATACATCCTGAGATTGTAAAACATACATTGAAACCATCTTGACACATTTTCATCGTACTGATTTTAGGAAGAAGGTAATTCTACATCATTATACAATTGCAACCCTGTTTTGCCAAATATTAAATTTACTTTTACATGATTGTTGGCCGAGAAGGTCGCGCGTCTCTGATATCGAAAAGGATAATCATTTCGTCTATATGTAACTTCTTATATATCACAGAATGGATCTCTGCGACGAAAGATTTCTTAGAGTTTCGCCTTAAGAGCGAACCGTTTCGTTTTCTATGTATAGTCAATTCTTCTGGAAGTTTTTGTATTAAATGAACTATAGATTAGATACGTAAAATTGATCACGATTGGCAAATATAATGAAGTGTATTTAGAAATATAATTTTGGTTTCTTTAAAAATTTACGATTAAAGTTATTAACATTAATATCACTCAAGCCTCCTTATCATAAGTTTTTATTTAATCACATTTTTAGTATACGGCATATACCTGTAGTATATAAACTCTCTCGTTACACATTTTTAGGCTTCAAGGGTTGCAAAGTTTCCAAGTTTTCTTCCTCCATAATCTTTATACAAATGTGCAAAATACTTGTGGAAAATGTATATAACGTGTATATATATATATATATGTATGTATATATCTATACGCGCGCTGTGTGTATATCCTTTTTTTTATTAATCAACACTATATAATATGCCTATCTATCTTGTATTACCTCATAACTCAATATATTAATTTCGAATCTTGTTCTATAGAATATCATGAAAAGTTTGAGTACAGCAGCCGATTTCCACGCGTTCGGAAACCATAGACCGTTAATAAACTCACGTTAATGATAATATTAGTCGGTTAACTGAAGAATATAAAAATCTTAATGTACAAAGTAAAATATGAAATTTCCTCTCGATATAAATTCTATGACAGGATAGAAAATTTCCATTTACGGTTTCCCACGAACAGGTAAATTGTCCACAAATAAATGGCCGTTTACATACAATGGAATACGATGTCTGCGAAGCGCAATGTTTCCAAACAAAGCATATTTTTGCAGCGCGAGATCATATTAACGGGTTATGGCGTATTTCTGACTACTATACCATACAAAACAACAACGAATTGCGATGGCAAAAGTTCTGGTAATAAGTTTCTGGTTTCTGGTTTATTCTTTATAAATCTTACACTACGTGTAGATTTCCTCACAAGCTCTTTTAGATTCAGTATTACACTTTCAGAAATTTCACAATTTGGGTACTGCGTTATTCCCTAACATACTGTTTCCCTTCGCATAAATTTTCGTACGACAAGCATCGTGGACACAATGCCGTGTCGCGAAAGTTATTACGAATTTTATGACATATATACAAACAACACTTCATATTATATACATGAAAATATATATATGTATCTATCATATATATAATATATATATATAAAGTTTCAACATTATGGCACCGTATTTTCTTTTTTTTTTTCTTCAAATAAATGTATATTCTGTGTCAGCTTCAAAATATAAACAGATTTTTCCACTCCGCTAGCTACGGCGGAAGCGTACCCATTCCCGTAGCCATCGTTATCGCGATAGTACGAAGTACGCGTCTCAAAGACGTTTAAAAGGAGTTTGTTTAATTATACTGGAACTCACAAGCACTATATGCCGTTGTACGTTGAGGAGGTATCAAACAACTGATGAGTGCAACAATTTAATCGACATTAAGTCGCCCAACCCCCTTCCGTGATTCTCGAGCGTTTCATGAGCGGTCCGCTCTCATAGTCTGAACTGTTCCCTCCGTTCCCGCCACCGCTAGAATGGTTCGTTCTGATATCACCGACCGTACCACTTCCCGGCGACGGTAGATTTGTCGGTGTTATGCTACCCGAATGGGACGGAGGTGGATTACTACTCGGTCTGCTCGATACCAAGTTCAGCGTCTGAGGCCCCGGATGCGACACGTGATGCGGCGGTGGGCCGGTACTGGACGATGGACCGACATTCAAATTTGTATGATGTAGATTGCTGGCGTTGCCGGGCCCACCATTGGACCCGTTGTTACCGCCGTGCGGGTCTCTGGGTGGACTTATCGGTTCACTTTTTATCTTTACGGGTAACGGCGACGTAGATGGTGGTGGTGTACTGCTCGATACAGCTAGGTGAGGAAGACCACTGTAATGTCGAAAAAGTTGCGTGATACTACGAGGGAAATAGTTTACGTAAACGGTTCAAAGTTCCAAAATAAAATGTGCTCTTATGCGAAAGTATGTTCTTATCGCAATGTGAGTCTAGTCTAGAGAGAAGCTGTAATTTTTCCCAATTGTTCTGCATCCCAACCCACGCGAACGTGCAATCATGCATAAAGTGTTTATAAAAGTTAATCAAATCATGATGTGAATCATGAGAATGTACTTTTAATAACGTATCGCCCCATAAATGGTACGTGATTCAATTACGCAAACAACCTGTGTGTAAATGAAAATGAAAAATACTCCAACACTCATAATTTTATGACATGCCAAACACTATTGTAACCGAAAAAAAACTATAGCGCTCCAGTGGTCGATATATTACATTACAATACATTACTACCCAGCGATAGGACCGTGCGAATTATTCCATTAAGTAATAATGCATAAGGAGAATTTAAAAAGAGAGAGATAAGCGAAGAGTAGAAAGAAATAACTACGAGATACTGAGAATGACGAGAAAGTGAAAACTAATTGAGACTCATGTACGTTGGATCCGAATTTCTTTCAACAATTATAGTACGAGTTGTAAGCGGATTTCTTCCAAGTCATAAAAATTGCGTGTAACATTTTATGACACGTGATCAATTTTTGAACCCGATTGAACGGAAAATGTATCATCTCTGTTACCTAATGGCCAAAATATGGACAAAATAACTAAAAGTATGTCATACCAACTGGACATATAGCTTTCTTTCACAACAATAATTATGAAATATGATTTACCTGAGGCTGGACATGGTGGCTGCCGAATATAAGTCATCAACAACGTACCTCTGATGAGTGGGCCATGTAAGGCCCCCGAGATCCGAGGTGTAATCTGTTGGTCCAAAAGTAGAGTATCCGGCTGGTACTGTTGGTGTTTGTAACGCTACTACAGGTGTATTCAACGCAGACTGCGTATGGGCATTCTGAAAGTCATAAATACACATCTCGTTTGAACGTACTTTTATCAGAAACGGAATATATGGGATTTAACAATCGATAAGGAACTTTTTTCCGTAACGTTCGAAAAGAAAGAGCTAACTTTTTTAATTGCACTTCCCGAAATCTAAGTTATACAATCTTTTTTAATTCAAAAAGAAAGTCCGAAGAATCATTATGAAACAAAGGGCAAGGTGTTCCTTGTTTAGAACATCCGTTTAAAGTTAACAACGGTGAGACAATTACATCATAATTAGTGTCTTCGGAGAGAGGTTGCGCAAGCGGTGTTGGTATAACCACTCGAAGGTTAGCCCTGTGAGGATGAGGCGGTGGCGGTGGAGGCGGAGGTTGCGGCGAATGCCTAGACGGATTGCTGCCTTTATTTGCACTACCCCCACCAACCCCGAGTGCGGGCGAAGGTCCTGGACTAGGTGAACCGCCCAATGGTGACGCTGACGGAGGATAACCATTGCTCATCTCCAACATTCCTCCCGGGGGATATACTGGAACGAATAATTTAACAAGTTAGACGCAAATTTCTTGAAAATGTCGGGAATTTGCCATTTCAGCCTTCTGTTACTAATTAAAGCTACCTGAATCCGTCTCAGACGATGATGGACGTGGAGAAATGCTGGTATGTGCCATCTGTGGACTAGATCCAAGAAGAGATTCGCCGTAACTGTTCACTGGTACAGATACCGGTAGCGTATAATTCGATTGTCCCATTGTCTGCAATCACAACAGACACAATGCAAATTAATAATACCTGTAGTGAATAGCCATAAACGCCGCGCCGAGTGAGCTCATAGCAAATTTGCAATTTGCTATTGTTCCGTCTTAACTATATGTAATATAACGATACGTGCTGTAATGACAAACTCGTATCTAATGCTTCTTATACACATGGCGAATTAGCGAAAGTATTACAAAAACAACTTTACTAAGATAAAAACAATTTCTTATAAAAATTCAGATTTCTTTACTATTCTTTTCTTGCTCAAACAAAACTTAATTCTATTCAATTTCATTATTCACTTTTAAATCAACTATTAATACGTAGTTAAATCAATTCTTGCAAATTATAAATTGTGTACAATGTATTAATTTTAAATTGCACACAATGATAAATATATAAGATATATAAAATATTAAAAGAAACGTAATGTGGTCAATTTACGAGCCACGAAAGGGCTTTTTGATTATATAATAAAAGAAAGCCATTTAATAAAATAAGAGTAAATAAATTATTTTATTTTAAATGACTTTCTCTTACAATCAAAGATTCTCTCGCTACTCATAAATTGTATTACCCTCCTTTTAATTTTTGCGAAACATGAGCGATTTTTTATTTATATAAAATATTGTCGCTGTCATATAATTTTATAATATACGCGCATATCGTGTATATATTTTAAAATGAAATATTTAATCGCTTTAACATTTGTTGCCAAAATATTGTCGCGAAATCAGAAAGAAATTCTCTTATCGCACGCGGTCTTCTTTTTCTGTAGAAAAACAAGCGGGAAAATAATTGCAAACCGCATTTAGAGAAATCGATCTGTGCCGCACACGACGTGGCGGGGGCCGTACGATAAAATTTTAAATAAAACTTGATATTTACATGTCAGTCGTGTCGACGAAGATGAATTTAAGATGTTTACTTGTTTGGACAGTCTCCATATAAATAGAACTAGGTGACAGATGGAACTAGGTTCTAAATACTTTTGATAAGGTGCGTTGACGGGGGGGGGGGGGGGGACTCGACGCCTTGGAAATTATGTGATATAACATATAAAATCCTGTAATCGCATTCCGCAAGGAAATTATAAGGACGAGCGAGCTAATTGGCAGCGAGCGCTTTACATAAATCTAAATAACAAGCGTAATAAAGAGGAAACTGTAACTGTTCTCTTTGCATAAACATAAGCTCGGGCCGGTTGCGACTGACATTTAGCTTGATTTGAATATTTACCCTGCTGCCATTGTGCTGATGCCTCTGCATCATCATCTGAAATTCCTCGTCGATCTTCGTGTATTTGGCCTCGGTGCGCGGGGTAAGATTGTATTCGATTGCGTCGGGTTCCGGGCTCTCTGGAGACATGGCACCCTTATGCTCCTTCTTGTTGAGCGCCTGCAAGTGTCAGCAGACAGGTTCACGTGACCACACCGCCCGAGGGCACTCAACCTTCACATGCACGTTAATTTAACACCAAGACGCGCGCGCTTCTCTTATCCTACCCGGTTTGCTCTCGCAATTACGGCTCGCGTAAGGAAAGGAAAAAGGGATCGCGCGTCGCTCCCACCGAGGTGAAACCGTGTCCCGCAAATGCGAGAGACCGGTATCGCGCGTGAAACACACGTCGATTCTCATATTCTTTGCAAATTCATAATGCGATGCGTAATGCGATTGAAGAAAAATGAAAACATATATGCGCAGGGAAAAGGAATCGTTCCAAAACTTTCCAATCGCCGTGAAACGACTCGTGAGTGAACGCGTCGGGATGTGCAGCGCGTGTTACAGACAGATTCGTTTTTAAGAACATTAATTTAACGTCCAGCCAAAATCGACGGTTCTTAATGCCTTGACGTCTCAACGATTTTCAAAGCCACAGGTCGAAAAATTCCGTTAAACTAGAAGCTCGCCCGAGTGGACCTGAAAACTGGTCAGGGTTGGCTGAAACAAATCCAGGGGGTGGAGAAAACCATAAATTCCAGTTTTTACCGTCCCGGACTTTACCCAATGGAATGAATTGGCAAAAATTATAAAAATAACTAATACTCAACATTAAAATATATTTATATAAATATCAGTCACTTTTATAGTCTTTATGAAAAAAGATGTTTGTTTTAAATACTAAATCGTATTAATCGCTACTTTAAAAAGAAACCAATATAATAAGTTTTTATCAATTAAAAAAATTGTTTTACTGAAATTAACACAGAGATACTAAATTTTATATTAATTTGTAGTTTATGCGGGAAACAATACTTTTTGCAGTACTTTCTAAAAGTCGTCTGCTTATATTATCGTTTTGAATAGAGAAGACCAGTTTTTGCCGGATTTCCCGGAAAATACCGGTTTTTACAACTGGTATGGACTCGATCCAAAAATGTGGAATTTTGCCAACCCTAAAACTAGTTTCTGCCTATTCACTCGTAATCCTGAAAGAGATCCCCTCGGTACGCACTAACGGTACGGTCAGAAGGAAAATCTACCGGTATTCTAATCCCGCCGAGGACCCCCTCTTCGTTCCGCTTTTTGTCATTTACGACTCGCTGCGAGCTTCTTGGATACACCCTGTATATTCGACACGCTGTCCTGACCTTGGCATATATCGCATATATACATATCCACAAATGTCGGGTATATATTCCTTTTTCCACCGGGAGGGAGAAGGGAGACAGAGAGAGAGAGAGAGAGGGGGGGGGGGAGGTAGAGGGAGTTTTCGAAAAATCAGCGACGTCAATATCCGATCCTTGGCGCGTCCTCGTTCACATCCTGAGAATCCGTGGCGGATAAATGGACTCACCTCGATAATATTCTTGTTGGTGAGGGACTCGTGGGGTTCGTTGTACTCGGTGTACTTGAGGAGAACCTTGTCCATGTCGGTGCTCGCATACTGGTACAGCTTGTTGCTCGAACTGAAGATAATCAGCGCGATCTCGCAGTCGCACAGCACCGACAGCTCGTACGCCTTCTTCATCACGCCGAATTTCCGCTTGTTAAAGGTCACCTGTCGCATATAAAATCAGAGGTTGGGAGGGGCGGGTCGCATCGAAGGTGAACCTCAGCGGGGTCCCGGGTGCCATTAAGGCCGCCGAAGGTGGGGTGGGCGCGCAGCCGAATGCCACGCACGGTTTCGCGATAACTAATTCATCGCGCGTGGTTTTAATCGCCCGATCGGCCACGTTACGTAAAAACGCGCGCCGATAATTAACAGGACCCATCTCTTTTTATACGCGTTCTTACGTTCCCCCGTCCGTTTGCTCCCTCTCACCGCGAGCGTGCATTTATTTTGAGAGGAAAAAGCGTATCTATAGAGCCGCCGCGCGTTCACGCCGGCAGGCGATCACCTTAATTATGCGTTGTTCGCAACATTTGTACACGGAAGGGCAAAAAATTGAATTAAAGCGTCCGTTTAAAAATATCGACTCGCGTGACACCGATCCTTCCGACACAGCTTCTTTCCATTTCCTGTTTCTCGCAAGGGTAAAAAGGGAGAAGAATCTCTGCCGCGTGTACGCTCTAATTTCTCCTGCTGGCTGCAACTCCCAAAAATAGAGGAAAGTCCTCCGTTGTGAGGCAAGTTTTTGATACGAGACAGCGGGTCTTCGACACTCAAATTCATTCGCAAATCTTTTCTCGCGACGATTACAGAATCTAACAAGGAATTCTCCGCTAAACGGATTTCGCGCCGAGAGGTAATAATGGAATCAACAAATGATGCCCATTAATTTAACAGAAACCCCGCTATCTCATGCTAGAAGCCTATCTCACAATAGGGGACTTTCCTCTGTTTGTACCAATGGCGTTCGGCCCCGCTCGATCGGGATTTGTAATTACCTGACGATTCCGTTCGTCCGTGATACGCGAAATCTGAATCTTCTTTCGACCCATTGTTGCACCACGTCTTGAATAAGAGGCAAGTCTTCGAAATCACTGGATGGAATATTAAGAACACTGCAACACACAAAGAAAAAGACACGGTTACTCCTCTTTTATCTAACTGCGCTTTATAATATAATGGCAGACAGATTTTTTTTTAATCTCGAAGCTTTCGCTTTCTCGCTGGCGAAGCGAATTGGAAAATCGGTGCTCAAACAAAATTTACATCTGTAAACGACACTCTCGCGGGATACAGGTGGCAGTCGAGTGTTCAATTCGGGAAAGGTTTTTTTTTCGCGAGGGAATTTTCAATTCAACGCGAAAAAAAAGCGGAAAAGTCAGCGGGCTGCGGAGAGGGACGGGGGCTCGCTTTGAAACGAATCCCGCCGCTCGGGATTTAACGCGCCTCGCATCCTTCGGGACGCTGCGGGAAAATGCTGGCAGCGATAAATAAGCACGACAGTTCGCGGAGAGCGACAGAACTGGACCGCGCTTTAAAACCTAATAATTCAATGGAAACTCGCGCGCGTGTCACTTTCATGTATCGATTACGATGCCGTGCGTACGAACAAGTTCGCAGAGCGCCGGGGCTGGCGTGTGCTTCACGAGAGCCCACGGACCGGCAAACAAAGTGTCGAATCGTTTACCACTGCGAGATTGCGGCTTTCAAGCGGAATAAAAGGGAACGATGTCGTGCGCGACGTTGTTATGGGAGGAGAGCGTGTTTTTCAATTGGAATTGATAATTGAGCTACCGCAGCGACGAGCTAATATAACGGAATTTTTAACCGAGCGCCGAGATAAAACGCACGTCCGCATTTCTGCATTTAGGTAAGGAGAAAAAAATGGGAGAGAATATTCATTTCTCAAAAAAAATCTGTCGCGAGCAGCGCCCCTGACTTTCGGCGAAACGATAAAAAGTAACCGAGGCGATAGAAATGAAAAAAAAGTCATTAAAGAGATTTTTTCTTTCGAAACAATAATTTCATGCTCTCCAAAAGCCAATCGGTGATGGAGAAAAGTCCCCTATTATGAGATAGACTCGTAATACGAGATGGCGGAGTTTCTGCTAAATTAATAGGCGTCACCTGTTGGTTCCACCATAAATTTATTGCCCTTGGAGGGAAATCTGTTTGGTGGAAAATTGACTGTTCGATCAATTTGAACGTTGAAAACCTACTATCTCATATTAGAATCCCATCTCACAATGGAGGACTTTCCTCCAGTTTCACCGATTGACCTCACAATTGTTCGAGTGCTAAAAGTTCCCTTTCGAAGTACAGTTTTTCGAGCGGGGTCTTATTCCTCTCAGTTTCTTCAGTGCGTCGAAAATTTCGTTCGCAGTATATAAAAGCAATACCTTTTGATCGACGCTAGCTGTGCTATTATTTATTACACCGATATACTGTTTCAAAATGCGCTGCGTCCGCGCGTTATTTTAATAGAGCAGTTAAATATCAGATTTACCTACTCCGAGTCATCAATTTTGCACTCTTATAAACGCCGCTCCTCCTCGCTGCACAACGCCGCGCTGTCAAACGCGTAAATTCTTAATGCGTTATCCAAAAGGGGACTCGCCATTATTATTGCAATACATTCTAAAATCGCGCAACGACGGACAATATAACGATGGACGGCAACAAATTAATCGCCCGCGATATTCGCCGTAATACACTATAAATACGGAACTATTACGGTACGGGCGTAGAATTAGCCACAAGCGCGACCGAATTAAACCGTTTCGGGCCCACAAATAAGTCGTCAAGTGTCGGGAGGGAGGGGAACTAATTTAAGCCCGGGGTGGGTGTTTTTACCGGCGAAAAATAAGCTCTGGGTCAACGGATTTGCATCGCGGCTGAACCGCGATATCAAACCTTTAACTTGGCGCGATATCAAGCTTTTCTCGCGCAACGCGCCCCCTCCAATTAACTCGAGCCTCCTAGAACGCGAAACAACTGCGAGGCAACGCGTAAGAATAAAAGGCCGAGAGGGATTTACGTATCGGAACCTCTCGACGAGCGAAATTGTACAATCGACTTGTAAAATTTAAAAGTCCCGTTAATCGCTTGCCTTACTAACCCGAGATAACTCGTTTTGCAGCGAGATACGCGTATAAAAATATTATTTCGAGATAACAAGATAACTCAACTTTTTTTCGGTGCAACTAAACAACAGAAGGAGGATGTACAGCGTGTTCAAAAGGAAAATGTTAGGCGCAAGCCGCGTTTATTTCTTTTGCGAAATTCCCGGCCGGCAGTTTCTCTTTGGGAAAAAATATCTCGGGAAATGTTCGTCGTAAATTTTGAAATTCAGTATCCCAACGAGTTTTCGCACCGAAGATGGAAACAAAATCCACTTCAGATGAACGACGTCACTCGTTCGCCCATTCCGACGATTAATTTATTAAAAGCCTGTCGACTTGAGAACTGTATATAGGCATTCTGACACCCTCGTTGAAGCATGTCCTTAAAGCCTTGTGTCCACGATCCAAGAACCGTGTCCAGGTTCTAGTCCCGAGAAATGTGCAGCCAATCAACTTGCATCTTTTACGGAAAAACCGCAAGTTGATTGGCCGCACATTTCTCGGAACTAGAATTTAGACACGGTTCTTGGATCGTGGACACGAGGCTTTAGAGAGGAAAGGATTGGCGTAGAAAACGGCTATTTTTTCCATACGGTAAAAAAATGAAAAGAAGTATCATTGAAGTATACACGGGGATGGTATGGTAAAATTTCAAGAAGCTCTCATAAAGCTCTTCAAAATGCTGCGTTGTCCCACGATAGCACGATTTCCAGGATAAATTTCAAGAGCAAATTCCCTCCGTGTATCATTATGGCGAATTGTCGAAAGACAGTTCGGTACGGAGCTCGAGCCGAAGGGATCCTCGGATTCCTCGGTAGCGCGAGAGAAACGCTCCGGCGAGAGACGTGGCGTGGCGGCAGCTAAAACTCCAACTCGCGCTAATCGCCGAGAGGATGATTCATCCGTTATATTCAAATTGCCTTTCCAGCCGCGAGTGGCGAGTGCGCGAGTGCGCGTGACGCGAAATGTGCGAAACGTGTCGGCAATTTCATTATCGGCGATTGGCGCGACAATCATCGCGGCTAATCACCGACGTTCGTTCATCTTGGACGATCTTTCACGCACGGGATCCGCGACAAGGAACGTCTACGTCCAGTTCCTTGCGTGTTTCTGAAAAAAAAAGAAAGAAAGAGAGAAAACTCGAGCCTACGGCGCTTCGTTCCCCCGAGTGCATTTAGCGCGAATGCTTTTTGCAAACGGACGCGCCAGTGTCATACGATTTTAATGAAAAGTAGAATTTATAAGCGCGACAATCAATACGGAGTGTTATCGCGTTTTAAAAATAAAAATGGGTCAAAATAAATCCAAACGGAACAACGGAGTTAACCACTGAAAACAATGATCTTGCAACTGCGGCAACAATTTTCTAGGTACAAAAAAAACCGAGATATACAAACGAATACTGTAAAATCGCATATGTTTTGTATTTAGTCAATTTAAATGTCAGAAACAGAAATTCTATCCGAGCTGTTAGCGCATGTCAGGAAGTAAGTCTTTCTGTGGCGCTCATCCATTGTAACGTTTGACTGTGGTAGATAAACAGTTATTTCCTTACAAAGATTGTCCTAGCTACGGTATCGAAGTTGATTTTTATCCAAAGTGAACGGTTAATATTTAGTCGTGAAACTTAAACTTCCCACAAGGTATTACTAGAACGTTGCTGCTATAAATTTTGCAGACTACCAAAAATTTCCTAACAGATCCAAGAAATAAATTTTTCTCTTGACACTTAGAAATCCACCTGGGTTAGGCCCGGTTTCACTAACGTCGCCTAACTTTAGGCTTAGCTCAATTCGCTCTTTGTCTCTTTCCAACTGTTACTCTAGAAAGAGACAAACATGAATTAAAGATTAAAGCAACGTTTGGTGAAACCGGGCCTTAGCAAGATATTTTTTGAGTTACGAGGTTTATTCGACGTGTGGTGAAACATTCTAATATCGAGGATGGGCTTCGTGAGGTAAAAAGAAAGCTGCCCTTTCCTCTCGCGAACGATTAAGATGAAGGACAAGCGCGGCCCAAAAGTTTCGATCTTCGTAGTTGAGAAACAGCGAGGAAAGTATAGAGAACGTCGGTCTGCAAGGGGAGAAACAGGCTGAACGCTTATTAAAGATAATCGGCTAACGACGCGCGAATACCAATACGTCCAGCTTATCGCGATCGAGAAGAGGATAGAATAGCGAATTGTACAACGCGCGGCGCGAAGCAGGTCGTGCTTCTTCCCTACGATATTCGGAGGCGCTGATGGCTAGGTAATTAAAGCAATTAAAAGAACCTTTGTATTCGTACACATAGCGCGCACCGCGATTGGCAATGACGTCAGCTGGGAAATAGAAAGCGATTCCTTTATCTCGCGCAACCATATGCCGTATTGAGGCAGATAGCGTTAATTGCTTCGATCCACCGCTAATGCGGCGAAAATGTAACGGTGAAATACGATCCCCCCCGTCCGGGAGAAAAGTTGGCGAGCGTCCGGGCGATCTACCATCCGATGATCGTCCTCGGCGAACGAGAACCCTCGCGGGTCTGAAGAAGAAGTTCCGCGGTAACGTGCCGGCGAACGGGGTGGATTTATTCGTTTCGGGACCGCTGCAGGAATTCGGAAACTTGAGAGGAACCGCGAAACCACGCGTCTTGAATTCGAGATTTCGCTCGAGGCCTCCACTCGGCGAAATAATTGAACGAATAAAATTCATAAGACTCTGATGTGAAATCACAGATACGAAGTAATAAAGGATATAAGAGCCGAGACGGATGTTAGTGTCTAAATGATTTTAATTTTTCGCAAATTAAAAAATTAACATCATTTAGACACTAAGGCACTGGATTCACATCTAGGGAGAAAAGCAGAAGCCAATCAGAACTCGCGCTGGTAGTAAACAGCACACTCTACTGGCAGAAAGTGGAAACTTTCGACTACCAGCGAGAGTTCCGATTGGTTCTGATTGAATTTTCGCTTTTCTGTCAAGTGTGAATCCAGCCTAACGTCCGTCTCG